TGGAGGGGGTGGGTGTACCATGAGGGTGGGGTTCATCTCTAGGAAATGCTGAAATTTCCCAGTTTGTAGTTGGCAGATGTGGGGAAAGTAATGATGTGGAATGTGTATAAATTGAGAGCTATGTCATTTACCAATAGAAAGGAGATTTTTGCTACAAAATAATGCAGGTCATAGTCCATCCTGTATGCTGAAAAGTCCAATCCTTCTGACAAGGACTGTGTTAAATACCAGATATGATCTAATCTTCACTTTGTTTGCTCAAGACCGTTAAAAAGCCTGTCAACTGTTAAGAGGTTAATATGGCTGTTGGCAGTCCTGTCCATATGTGTATGTGGGGGGAAAGGGAGGGGGTGGATGAGTGACATTTCATAAAAAGACAGCCTGTAATCTAAAGTACAGAGGACTTCCTCTTTGTGGAGTATAGAAGACTGAAGACTACGTTGTTGGGCACAAACACAGAGAGACAAATGTCACTTATTGAGACACAATAATCAGTGGGTCCTGCAATCATAACCCACACATCCTTACTGTAGTTTTTTTGTTTTTGTTTCAGACAGATTTACTGTTGGATATGCCTAAAACATTGCTTCTTACCCAGAGAAAGTAAGTAGCCAGCATATTCTATTGTAAAATGGTGCCACAGTTGGGGGAAAGGCATCCTTTATGCTGTATGGACATCTGTATTGATTTTAAAATCAAATTTGACTTTTATTATTATTTACAAAGTGCGCAATGCATTTTCACACCTAAAAACTCACATCACACAAAATGCAAAATTACAGCAAAATAATTAGTAATGCAGGATGAAAATTAGAGCAAACGATGTACCATGGTTCTATAATGCTGAGTACAAAATAGTACGTTGAAAAAGCAGTGAAAGAGTTATGTCTCTTTAAATGACCACTGGTTGTGATCTTTACTCATCACTACTCAAATTGCACTGCTTTACTCAGGCCTGACAAACAGGGCGAGTGGATGAGTAGCTTTTTGTTCAGATCTATTCCAGTCCTAGCAGTTAGAGATTAACTCTTGGCCCCGGACAATTACGTCAGATCCCTTTAATCCCAAACAATTTACCTGCAGCAGTGACAGTCCTCCAATGACATGTTGTCTTTCAGGGGGTCTGCATCAGTCTTTAGCAGTCTTTTGATATTTGGTAGGCTTTGGTAGAAGATTTCTTAAGAAATTCTGGGTGGTAAGGATGTGATGTATACAATAGTACATGTCATGTTTTTGAACATTTTAGGGAATTACAAGTGTAAATAAAATAAATTAAATACTTTTTTTTAGGTCACTCTAAATTCTGATGATCGTAACATCCTTGTTATAGTGTCTTGTAAATCTATTTATAAGCCACTCCGACTCTTGTGCAGACTCTAGCGGTCATGGGAGTCAAATTATCTGTTCAATATAAAGAAAAAAAGTAATAATTTCTTTCACAAGAGGGCGACAGTGGGCACTTACACCACCCAGCAGCCCTTTAATGCCACTGCTTAGCCATAATGTACTGCATGTCGTTAAGAATTATTTTAAAAGGAATTTGCTTTAAAATATGTGAAAAACATACTTTTAGCATGCCTTCACTGCTAAAAGTATGTTTTTGATATTTTATTTTACCTTACTTAAATACCTGTGATTGAGTTGTTAATTTCTAAGATGAAGTATCGTATGGAAATTAAAATACAAGATACAAGATACAAGATTGTGTAAAAACAGTCACACCCCAGCTGTGACTGGAGCAGCTCTACACCGGATGCACTTCCACTTTAACCTCCTTTTGACTCAGCAACATGTAGGCGGACATTCCTTGCAGGGGGTGAGGATATTCACACAACAACAATCATTATGTATCAACATTTCAGACTTATTCACATTGGAGTAAAAGTAAAAAGGAAATCTAGTATAGTTTCAGTAAGTAATGGGCAGTAACATTCTTCTAGGTCACTGGTTTGTAGAGTCTGTTAGCCCCCTAGCTAAGTTTTAGTTTTTGAATTTAGGACCCACAGGGAGAGGATTCCTCTCCCACTTTCCATGGATACTGTGGGCGGGACCTTGAAATAGGATTCCGGGGCAGAGATTTCCATGCTCTGAAAAGTAGGGATGACAAATCCAGTAACTCTGTTAGAAATTCTGGAGTCAGCCCTCAGATACATACATTTCATATACAGTAGAGGAGATCAGTCGGGCACAATCCAGAGCACAAACAGCCGAACCGCTTTAAGAACCTAATAAGGTAAGTACTGGGATATGGGGGCAGGGAGCGTATCATGAGCAGTGGTGGGAAATGCAGGGGTGTGTAAAGAGGAGCCACTAAGTCAGATCTGTGATCTGTAGTTAAAGAATCCATTGTAGACAGAAGGAACGTGTGTCACTACAATTACTGCAGGGTTTGAAAAGTTAGGGGAACGATGAAGAAAGTGAGAAGATTATTTTACAAACACGGGACTTAAAAATAATGAATTACACCTCTTGTCAGTTAGAAGTACACTGAGGCATACAGTGCAAGATTGTAAATGTATGCATAAACCTGTCATCAACCTGTCTGTGGAAGGGTACGCCACTATAGAATGAGCTGACTTTGTGGATTATATGCATTTAATCTGCAAACTGTTGCGTAAAAGTTCTGGAAAAAATATTAAAACAGTTTTGTTTCCTTATTAAAAAACATTACTGCAATCTAGAGAATGCACCATCTTAACTAACATCTACAAGGCAGATGCTGAAGTCAGATACAACCCTGTCTTTGCGGTTCAGTGAGCCTGTATAACACATCTGCAAGAAGACGCCATAAAGCATTTCTTTTGTGCTGTAAATGTTGTTGCTCTACTGCGGAGCTAAACTTTTTTCTGAGCTGCACCCGTAGTGAGGCTGAGATCATAGAAATCAGTACATATTTGTTAGCCTTTGAAATATCACATCATCTTAATTCATTACATTGAATCTGTGTAGGTGTTTTTTATCATTAGTATCGTTTCTCTTTTGTCATTAGCATCAAATCATGTTCATAGCAGCCCTTGTTGCCTTGGTCTTGCTGGCCTCAACTGCTTCAGCTGCCACTTCCTCGACATCAGACAAGGTCCTCAGCAACCATGCTACCATTTTGGCTAACAACAGTGCCACTCTTGCCTTTAGTCTTTATCAAAACATGGCCAAGGAGGAAAACATGGCAAACATTCTGATCTCTCCTGTGGTGGTGGCCTCCTCTCTGGGTCTGATGGCTCTTGGAGGAAAGGCCTCCACTGCCTCCCAGGTGAAAAACATTCTAAACGCTGCTAAAGTCAAAGATGAAGAGCTGCATTCTGGCCTGGCAGAGCTTTTGTCTGAGGTAAGCAACCCAAAATCAAGAAATGTCACATGGAAGATCAGCAACCGTCTGTACGGACCCAACTCTATCAACTTTGTGGACAAGTTCGTTCAGAGCAGCAAAAAGCACTACAACTGTGACCCCACCAAAATAAACTTCAAAGACAAGAAAGGAGCCGTGAACGCCATCAATGAGTGGGCAGCCAAGTCCACTGATGGCAAACTGTCTGAGGTCACTAAGGATGTAGAGAAGACAGATGGGGCCATGATTATTAATGCCATGTTTTTCAAACGTGAGTCGTTAAGATATATAAAATCTCTACTGCATATGTCAATCTCAATCGCATGATTGTTTATTGTTTGTTTGTATTGTTCCCTACAGCTCACTGGGATGAAGAGTTCCATCATCAGATGGTAGACGACCGTGGATTTTTAGTATCACACGGCCACACTGTGTCAGTGCAGATGATGCACCGTACAGGTGAGTGCCTGTAATACTTTTTACTCTATGGCTTTAATGAATGCATTGACTCTTTTATTATAACAGAACACAGCAATAAAAATAAATTGTAATTAAGTTCACTTCCTGTAACTTTTGTACAAGGGAGTGCATATGGTGCCTCTCTGTCAGTTTGTTGGTTTTATATTGATACGGCTAAATATTTATCTGAACACTTACACACCACTGAAGATTTGACCAACCACAGACATTTCCACCATGTAACAGACGCAGTTACGGTGCCTGTGTAGTCAACACAGTTTCCTGTCACTGTGTGACACATCCAGGAAGTGTCTGCTATTCAGAGATCCACACATACTGGTGTCCACAACAAGAATAAAACACACACCTGGTTTAACTGTTATGGCAGATCAGTGTGTGTATGTGTGTGTTTATTTTAGTTTTTGTTTTAAATTCCCATGATATTAAATATTATATATTATAATATTGACTGGGTAAGAAAATGCTTACAGATCTATTGTGTTTCCTAAGGCCTCTATGACTTTCATGAAGACAAGACTAATAAGCTGTACATCCTGAGCATGCCTCTAGCTCATAAGAAGTCCACCGTGCTGTTCATCATGCCCTACCACGTGGAGCCTCTGGAGAGGCTGGAGAAGATGCTGACTAAGAAGCAGCTGGATACATGGATGAGTAAACTGCAGAAGACAGCAGTTGCTGTGTCTCTTCCTAAAGTCAGTATGGAAGTCAGTCACAACCTTCAGGTAAATTCTATACTAAAGTATTTCATATTTCATCAAAGACGCATTTTAGTCCACTATTACTAATGCATTTTTGTGGCCTATTTTTAGAAACACCTTGAGGAGCTGGGGTTGACAGAGGTGGTGGATAAATCTAAGGCAGACTTCTCCAACATTTCTGGAAAAAAGGATCTCTACCTGTCAAGTGTGTTCCATGCCACTGCCATGGAATGGGCCACAGACGGGAATGAAATGGATTCAAGCATCTTTGGCACAGACAAGCTCAAAAACCCAAAACTTTTTTACGCAGATCACCCTTTCATTTTTCTGGTGAAAGACCAGAAGACAAACTCCATCCTGTTTATTGGCAGGATGGTCAGGCCAAAGGGTGAAAAGATGAGAGATGAGTTGTGAGCTTTTGAAAAGCCCATTTAACTGTGTGCACATTTTCTACTGTGGTTTGGTTAGAAAGGCAGGGAAGGTAAGGGTGCATTACTTTGTCAGGAGATCAAAGCATTCCACAAGACCTAGACAAAATATGCACACTTATCGCAGGGATCTCTCTATCTGCTGTCGTGACCTTGAAAAGATGGTGTTATGTATTGGCACATAAATATATGCACAAAATCCAAATACAGAACAGTCCTACTGTGTTTCTATAGTGCTTTTGTTTTCAAAATCACTTATTACATATCTCGCACTCATTCAAACAAGCACTGACTTACACTGGCAAACATTTGTATAGAAGGCAAATGTAAAAAGAAAAAGTGTGTTGAATTATGGATGAGCATTGTTATTGACTATTGCAAGATTTTGTTTTTTAATTAAAGTTATAAAATACAGTTTTATGCTTTCTTATGGTGCTGTTATTTCACTCACATAACCCAAGCTGCTTATTTAACTAATCCTTTTTTGTACATAAGTCTGTTTGAACAGTTATAGACTTTGCCCTCAGTAGTCAGGCTTACAACGGTATTTTCCATTTGAATAACATGAGATAACGATAGCAAGACTGACTGTGGGAACAGTCTGGGAATGCTCAGCTGTAGCAACGGATGTGATAAAGTTGCAATAACATACTCTACAAATGACAACAAACCTGCAGTAGAAACAGTAAATATTTGTATTAGTAAGGTAGGCCGTGGCCCACCAAATATGTGAGCGCTGCAAAGTAGGATATAAATGTACAATTTAATAATACGGTATAGCGTTTAAATGTATAACATCAATAAATACCCCCATCTAGTGGACAACTAAGGTTGTGACAAATACCTGCACAGACAACAGAGGAAGGGAGATCATATCCAAAGAGAAAAAAGGACAGAAGCAGGAGAGAATTAAAGACATTTTTGTCTTTGACTTCATTATTTTAGACTGTAATGACATAGAAAATTAAATAGACATCAATAAATGGAGGAACCAACGAGGACAATTAAAAAAAAACATATTGGAAAGAAACGTTAACTATACATTGAAACAGTAGTCATTTACACCCACTGTAAAACTGTAATCAACACTTTAAAATTTGACATTATAAAAATTGTACTCAATTGTGAGTTTATATATTTTTAACCACATGACGTTGATAGAACTGAGTTTCTGTAAACATTTACCTTCATCATCACTAGGACGGTTGAGTTACTGTTGGAGGAGAAGGTTAGAGTCCGTTAGCCATAGCCTCCTCCTCCCTTTCCACCACCAACTCCACCAACACTCCCTCCTCCTCCTTCTCCACCTCTCTTCTTCTCTTCCATCATGGCTCCCTCGATAGACCGACAAGGATACTGGGGGCAGCCGACGTCCACGTTGGACTGGTGCGAAGAAAACTACGTTGTCTCCCTTTACATCGCTGAATTCTGTGAGTAAACAGCAGCTTCGTGGCGGACGCTTTCCCGGGTCTGTGCCCGTGTGTGTTGTCTGTGGGAAGGACAGTCGTCAACAGCCAGCGCAAAAACAGCATGAACACCAAGTGACTGTGCAGCCGCTGTTATCAGTGATATATTAGAATCGTGTCACTCTTCTGGGCTAAAGCAAGCAGTATTAATGAATGCAAACCCACCATTATTACATAATAAGCGTGTAATAAGGTGCAGTTAGAGCTGTAGTAAACGAGTAATGCTCCTGCCGGGAAGACATTGTATAACAAGTCCATCCGGTCTGTATTATGAGCTGTTATGCTTTGCTTTATTTATTTATTGCTTTATTTTAGTATTCTGTAGCCTTGTACAGCGAGTGTAAGCTGTCACGAACAAAGACACGTTCGTACCTTTTTGCACTCCTTTACGTAAGCACCGAGTTACATTTTATTCTATTCTAGCCTCAGGACAACTACTTTCTTCGCTGTGTTTCCAGTTCACGTTGTGCCTCAGTATTTTCTTTCAAGCTAGTATGGGGCAAAATACTCACTCTGACCGTTAAAACACGTATATCCAGGAACCCGAACCACTGACTTTAAACGTTGTTCTTTACTCAGCTATGCAAATGCTGCGATATCAAACACAAAACATGTGGCGTTGACATGCAGCGACTCCTATGATGTTTAATAGTAAGTCGTGTCGATTGACCTTTAAATGAGCTATATAAATGTTGCAAATCAAGATAAAACAAAAACTGTTGGGGTGTTAAACAATCATTCAAAAAAATATTGAAATGTCAAAATGTTGTCTTTGTGTATAACATGAAAAAAGCACACCTACTCTGCACTCTGTGCTGGAAATGTATTTTAAAATTAGAGATGCACAGACATGCAATTTTCCCAGAAACTGCACTCAATTACAGGTTCTCCTTTCATGTAGAATATTATATATCAAGATGTAGCAGAATTATATAGAAATATGGCATTTGAACCATTGGGTTCTTGTGATGAAAAAACCACTAGAAGGCATTACTAGTTTGCATTCCAATGTCCTGGTAAAACTATTTGTCTTCCACATCGCCGCACCCAGAAACAGCCGTTGTAGTGATAGTGAGTAGTGCTAAGCTGTTTTTTTATCAGGTTTCCTGTTAGCCTGCTGATGTATTCACAAGTAACAAGTACATATCAGAGATCTTGAGCAGGTGGGGTTACATGCAAAAACAGTTGAACTTTGTTTTCGCTGTAATGATTAGATTAGGTAAATTACTAATTTGTGCCTGTATTGCTCATATCAGTCCCCTTTACCCTTTACATATTTAAAGATAATGCTATGGTAGCTTTTCCAGCTTGTACACTTTGACTGTACAAGCATAATAAAAGTCTGCCATCATCATTATTTATATCCATGGGTAATTTAACTGTTATGACACTGCCAAACCTTGTACCTGCCAAACATTTCCCTCACACTGTGCGACCAGGGACCACAGAGTTTTGGAGACGCGAGGGTACACAGCGGGCATGTCACTGTAAAATGTCAGGGAACATGTGGACAAAGTTCCCAGTGCCACTGCAGACAACAACCTGCTGTGTTTGAGGTCTAGAGATTTGACAGTGAGGCTGTTTTAATTATTAGTCAGTTTGAAGAAGTGTAGCCTGAAATGGCACAGTGGTAGTGGGGCTACGAATGTTATTGTTCCTGTCAGTGGTTTCGTTGACTCTTCAACCCATTGGTTGTCATAGCTAACAGTTTTTCTGAGATCACACTGCTGGAACTGCACAAGACATTGTCCAAACATATAAAACCAGAGTTAACGTGTATAATCAATATGTTTCAGCACAGAGATAAGGAACTCTGACACCCGCACTCTTGCACATTCCCATTTCCTACTGTGCACTAGACGTGTCCAAAGATGTTTGATTTCTTTGTTCTGTTTATTAATGTGGTATTTTTGATCATGTCAGTTAAGAGTTGTTTATTTTCAGTTTCAGATGTTATGTTTTGATTTCATGGGGTTAAAATATAAATCAGACTCAACAATTTTTAAAACTACATCATCATTTGTGAAAGTGATTATCTGGTAATTATAGTGTAATTATCTGGATCTTATGCCTTAGTGTAATTCCATTAGAAATGACTAAGGTAGGTAAGGAGTCAAATTTCAAGTAAAGCAGGCCCAAACAGGACGGCAGTGTTGTTCAGGTCCATGGTGCAGCCATCAGGTTAAGATATAATGTCACTTGTCATTTCTTGTGACCGTGACCGAGACTATCTCTATGTGTCATCACGCCACCTGATCACTGAGGCATTTTTAGCTCTGAAAAAAATATCCAGGAAGCCTCCTTATCAGCCTCTCATTTATCTCTGCTGTCTACACAAACAGGGAATACTGTTAGCAACCTGATCATGATTCTTCCTCCAATCTGTGGCGCCATTCAGACATATCGAGACGGCCTTGAGTTTCGCTACATTTTCTCCTTCCTGGGGCTTGCAGGTAAGTCTGTATGAACCACTAATGGGTTTTCTCTAAACACTGAAGCAAACATTGCTCATGTTTACATGGAACAGTGACAGTTTGTGTAGCTGCAGGTGCCCTGACATTTCAAACATCTGATAATGTTTTTCTACGGTTGTGTCTCCAGCTGTAGGTATTGGCTCCTGGTGTTTTCACATGACGCTGCTGTATGAGATGCAGGTGTGATATTAGTTTACACAGGAACATCAATGTGTGAAAATGTTTTATTTGCTATACATTTTTGGTTTCAATTACATAAAAAATTGTTTTTGATGGCTGCGATCACATGGCCAGACGTCACAAGTGACAGCTATTAAAATGTCTCTGGGGTCACCAAAAATGTATGATATCAAAATTAATTTGGGAACCACTGCCATATAGGTTGTTGTTTATTGGCCGTCGTTCTGCACGTTTCTTCAGGAAAACATCATCATGTTGTGATGTATACTCTGCTCGTTTGCAGCTCCTGGATGAATTGCCGATGATTTACAGCACCTGTGTTTTTGTCTACTGCCTGTAAGTAGTTCCTTCAGCTCATTATTATTTTTCACCTAAACTTGTGATAATGACATTTCAATAAATCCTGTTTGTGTTTCAGATACGAGTGCTTCAGTCAAAAGAAAAGCATCAGTTTATTTCCTATTGCACTGTTGTTAATCTTCAGTGTCTCAGTCACTGTTGTAAGTAGAGGTTTCCATCTTTTTTAATTGAATCTTTTTTGCATGATCATATTTAGCATGGCAGCGTAGGAATATACAACATATTTTATTAATATAAAAAAGTAAAATGTTGTTTTCATAGTATTCGTCTGACGAGTTTCTCTGTCTGTTTTTTTTTTTTGTACAGGTGTACCTACAGTGGAAGGAGCCAGTGTTTCACCAGGTAAAGGAGTGCTGTGTGTTACGGTCATCTGACTCAGGTTACAGTGTTTGCAGTTCAGGCTCAGCGCTGAAGTCATTTTTACACTCTGCAAACAATAAGCTTTACACACACGCTGCTTAGTGTTATATGAACCACATTTTAAACACGAATAACACACACCACTGCAGTTCCACTGATCTATTAGTGTAATGTTATGTCATGTAATGGTATGTGATGTGTGAGGACATGTAATGTGTGTGTGAGCCTACAGTGTGAGTGTGTGTGCTAATGTTTTATATTAGTGTGTGTCTTTGTGACGTGAACATGACACCAAGGTGGGTCGAGTCACTTTCACCCTTTTAAATGCGATGACAAGTTTGAGACAACAATGACTGTAAACATCACCTGACACCTGACTGCACTGTTGACGATTTCCAGATTTATACTTTTAAGTTTTGACAATGACATTAAAAGGGTAGGATGAACAACTAACATTTTAATATGCTTAATCACTGAGTAGCTGTGGATAAGTTCAAATTAAGATTAATTGATTATAATACAACTGGTCTGATGCTGGGCAGGCCTCTGACCTAAAGTTACGAGGTGAAACCAAAACTTTACCTTGCAGTGTGTGCAAATAACAACCTGTGGATTGACTATAAGAGCAACAATGTCTGGAATCTTTGGATATATAGTGAGCGTCCTTCTGGCCATCCACTCAACGTGTTTATTTTGACAGCCCTAGAAATAAAGGTTCTGCAGTAGTGACAGGTACTATACCTCTAAATTCTACATCCTTTTCCTCACTCCAAACTCTCGCCACTCCCAAAGACAGTTAATGTTTGATGCAAAACAGGACCCATTCAACCTGTATTTGTGTTTGGTGTGTAATTGTGTGTGAGGACAAAGAGGCTGAGCTGATTTAGTTTGTTTACTACATGATAATGATTTGTTGTGAGTCATAACAAAACTGATAGTGTGGATTTAAATTGTGACCTTTTGCAAGCTGAGATCTTCCACCTTTTCCACCTCCGCCATTAGTTTCTGTGTTCCCACATCTGATGTATACCACTTCCTCTAGGTCATGTATGGTGCTCTCGTGGCTTGCCTAGTGATGCGGTCCGTCTTCATAGTTACATGGTAAGTTTTCCAAAAAGACCTACAATAAACAGTAACTATCCCAAAATGTCACTTCTGAATAATGCTGAAGGATATTATATGTCACTTTCTCTTAAATCCTAGGGTTTACCCCTGGCTCAGGACCCTCTGTTACACCTCGCTGTGTATCTTTTTGTTAGGATTCCTCCTGTGGAACATTGACAACATCTTCTGTGACTCATTAAGGTGAGTTTACTGAACAGTATCTATCAGATAGATACAGATTGTGACCGAGGTTTGGCCGGAAAGTGCCCAATGGATGTGGTTAACAGACTCCCCCCCACCCCCCCATGATGTAATCAATGATGATCTGAAGTGTAACTGAGAACAAACAATGTTTTTTCGATAAAAAGGCGGGTTTAGTGCATAACAAACATGCCCAGAAGAAGGAGGGGGATTACTTCAACATGGTATTGTTACGGAGGTGTGGAGGTATCCTGAAGGAATGGTCAAATCTAAAGTGCTCTGTAGAGCTTTATTAATCTCTGTCTTTGTCTTTGTGTTCTTATTTATTCCCTTTTAACTTTTTATTTATATATATTATTTATTTTTTTTAGGGCCAGTAGGCAAAGTCTGCCCCCTGCTGTTGGGGTACTTACACAGTTTCATGCCTGGTGGCACATTTTCACTGGTCTAGGATCTTATCTGCACATACTTTTAAGGTAAGCTCTCAATTTATTAACACTGAATACGATGAGTTTCTTTACACTGACCATCATCACTTCTTTATAGTCTACAGATCAGGTCAACCTACCTCAAATACAGACCAAATGTTAAGGTAAGTCCAGCTCCTAGAATGCTGTATATCTTTAAAGGAGTCCATCAGTGTTGAAACCTTCTATTTTGTCCCTGTGTAGTTTCTATGTGGAGTTTGGCCCACACTGCACATCGAGCCTCAGAAGACCAGCTGAGGTGAACCGAGTGGCAGGAGTTCAAGGATGGTGACTGCCACCTGCTAATGCCACAGGCGCAGTGACCTGCCACCGCCCACTGCGGCGACCTGGGTTGGTGGGCAGCACACAGGTGGACTCGTAAAGACACCACCCAAAGGAAACTGTGGTAACATACTGACAATAGTATAGCACTGGTTTCCAATTTAAAGAATCGTATGGTTGTTCTCATGAATCACAACTGACAATACTAGCTATTTCATAACTTTATTAACTGTGATAATATTATTTGCTCCTCTTGACTGATATATTGACATGTAGCCCCCGTGCAAGCGTAGGTGTTGAAGGGTTACAGGTTGTTAGTGGAAAAGTACTCTGATTAACCAATGAATCATTGTATGTTTGATCCTGTGAATGTGTAAATCACCTAAACTGTAGTATAACTAGGATGTTTGTTCGTACTGTATGTAGTTTTATGAGTGGCCGAGGGAGTTGTGTTGTCATGTCCTTCTTTGAGCAGTGTCATACTGTGGCTGCACTACTTATTACCAGCTACAGGGTGGAAGTGGTACTGTAGTACTACTGGTAACTGATTACTCCTCTAAACTGTAGGCTGCAATTTAAAAAAAAAAAAAATGGAAACGTTTCCAAATGAGCATGACATGACTGGATTTATTTTTCTTTGTAGCCGATTTTATTTTTGTTGCCAAGTTTCTCTGGGATTTAACACGATCATGTAACATTTGAGAAGCTTACCTCATTGTGAACATGAAAGCAACTTAGCTAGCATATTTTAAAATATCTTTGCACTTCATTCTGAGTACTACTGGTTTAAACTCGCAGAGCATGACACTGGATATTTCACCTCTGACTGAATGCTAAATGTGTGTTCAAAGAAGGACAAAGAAACCGACAAGGATCTTATTTCACTTACTGTCTTACTGATATTTTATACTGGAGCTTCATTTGGATCGAGAAATTAAAATTAATTCTGTTAGCATCAGTGTAGTCAGGCAGATGTAACACAAACCTGCAGAAGCATCACTGGAAAATGCACCAGGTCAAAGTGTCACACTGTCACTGCTACTGTATGTGTGCGGATGGTTTCATTCCAGCTAAGTAATCCAGCTAAAATAAACTGCTGAAGAACCACTTCATTCTCTAGTTGTAATTGTAATAGATATGATTGAAAGGACCAAGTGTATGAACGACACATACCTGAAAAAGTGCGTTTTAAGGGATTGGTGATGGAGTCCACTTAATCCCCTGCTTTCTGTCCCAATAGTGAACAGTATTGTATCCCTGACTTTCTTTAAATAGTTTACTTGATTATAAAGGTAATTCAAAAATGTTGATATATACTTGTATCTGTACAAACCTAACCTTAACATCTTACCTGTGAACAAAATACATTTAATCCACTTCTTAAACGTTTTTTAGATTTAAATACACTTACAAATTTAAATACAGTTATTGTCACATTAACACCTTACAGAGGTAACGGTCTCTGACACAGCCAGTAGATGGCAGTATAATCCACCTTATTTTAGGCATTGCCACATATTGTCAATCTGCCTGCTACTAACAACACCTCGGATCATTCTGCGTTTCCGTGTGCTTGATCTGTGGTGTTAAATGAAGGGCTTTGTTTCAATATAGAATTGGTCATTTTGCTACTGTGAACTCCTGTGGATATTTGGCAACAAGTATACATTTTAGTACAAATATCTGCTTAACTGGAAGATAAACATTGTTGTATGTAGCTGTATGTGTGGACTAAACTGTCCTCTACTGAAACGTGTCCATATATCAAGTCTTAAATGCTTTAACACGCCTGGGAGCCAGTGTTTTTAGCTTTTAAGAAGCACAGAAGTACAATACGTGTTAGTATTATTGTATTGTTATTGCTAAAATGTGTGTGTGTGACTGTTCCTGTATGATAACACTGCTCATCGGCTGACAAACACGTGCCTTATTGTTATCCTCGCAGTCCAATCCAAGTTGCCTTGATGTTTGTGATAAACCGTTCAGTTTGTCCGTTGCATGCATGGTAAATAGCAGTTTGGGAAATGGACAACAGAGGAGTCTCTGTCACAGTTTTTCTGTGGCCCAGTTCATGTGTCCAACAGCTTTGATACCAGCTGTTGTTTGTGATGCTGACTGACTGACTGACTGACTGACTGACTGACTGACTGACTGACTGACTGACTGACTGACTGACTGACTGACTGACTGACTGACTGACTGACTGACTGACTGACTGACTGACTGCTACAGGTGGCCATACGTGTGTTTCAGGCCAGAACTATGTGTTTTTATGTGCCAGTCTTTAACATTGTCCTTAATTGTCAAATTAAAAGGTTAAAAAAAGAACAGCCTAATTGTTTTCAATCTTCAGTGTGTATGTGTGTGTGTATTGAGTGATGGGAGGTCATTTACCAGGATGAATGCCACCCAATCTAATTTTGGCTTGTCAGGAACCACATTTTGCAAACTGATACGAGTTCTTTCATGCGTATACTCGCCGATACCTATAACGACCTTGTGTATACTCGCCGATACCTATAACGACCTATTTCATACCTTCAGTGACTTAGGTTAGGTTTCTATGAGTGTGCAGTGAACTGGAAGGCAGGAAGCGTTGAAGACACTGCGGTGAGAACAAGCAGGAAAATGCTTATAGATTTGTTTTTGTCTCGTTAACAGAGAAATATTTCATTTCAAAGGAAATAAAAATAAAGTCCCATATTTTAAAAGTCACAAACCTTTGTGACCCAAGTCAATAAACATTATTCGTAAATTCTGAGGAAACATGATGAGAGAGGACACAAAAAAAAACTCTTCCCAAAGACCACAACTGGCAGAACATACTGTCATAAGATGACCAATTTAACTGACCACTCGGTGACAGGGTAGTTAGCGCTAGCCTTATCGCAAGAAGACGGTAACTAATTGTCTTGCAGTTCACGGTGACTAAACAAAAAAAAAAAATTTTGAAAAATGTCAACGTTTTCCATTTCCCATTTAAGTTATCGTTACAAGATACATTTTTATAATAATTCATTATACCAGTGACAAAAATCAGACGCTGGGTAAAGTCTTCCAACCATACAGTGCAGTAGTAGTTCATATGACACATGCAACTCCGTGGCTTATGAGTAAACAGCCTGAGTAATAGTTGTGTAAAAGCTGCGATACCACTGAGATAACAATCTTTTGTTGCGGTATCAGACTCATAGACTCAGAGTGTCAGCATTATCAGCTGCAAATACTGCATTGACTTTCTAACATGGAGGCAATCATTTGGAAAAAGTGGAATAGAAGTACTGGAGAGACCCGATGAACAGATGTATTTGTGTTCATAAATAACTGACATTTTGCTGATATTTGGCATCAAAGCCCACATCCCATACAGTTATTATTAAACCTTTCAGCTTCAAAATCACAGGCTCCGTGGTATCCTCTCAACATCTTAAGGTCTATAACCAGGGACATGGGAACACACAACACAAAAGTCCAGCCAGAACAAACGAATATACTGTATTTAAGATCTGTTTCATGAAAACAATGTGGGCAGGACCCCGATGCAGCATTCCAGAGACGAGTTCTTCATTAAAACACATCCCAACTACACAGGAGCTGCTGAAGGTCAGGATCAGATGTAAGATACACTAACACTGGGCTGGGAATCTAAACAGAAACGTCCCCCAAGCCAGAGATTAGATAAAGAAAATGCAGTCAGAGTGAACATCACGTCAGTGTACACCAAACAACAACATGTGAAAGTCAAAACAATGAACTGCCAAGAACTAAACGAGGGAGAGACCCACGTCACCAAGTGTTACAAGTGAGACTAATGAACAGAGAAGAACAGCACACAGGTGAGGGTACCAGTCAATTACCAAATGACACGCAGTGGCAGGTGGTATCTGTACTGTACAGTATTTGACTACAGTCATTGTTGTCCTTCGTTCCCTCCAAAGACTGCTAACAGCAGTCGAAGACCACCACACATTCCTCTCTAGATACAGTATTAGATATCACAGAGCTTCAACTCTGTATGATGCACGGACACAAACACAGCCCTTCAGTGTCTCTCCTTCTGAACACACACCAGTCAGAAAAAACACTGACTGCACAGAGGTGGAGAGACTCAAGACTGTCATTACGTAACTGCTCCGGTTTGAACCTGTCAGTAGTATATAACCCCACCGGCATTTGACACAACCTCCGAGCTCTGAGTTGTGAAAAGTGGGAAAACACTGACAGAATCTGATGACCAATGTGAAAAAAAACCCTTTTCTTCTCCCGTCTAAACATCTGTATTTATTCTTCCGCTTTAAAACTCTCTGAGCCGTCCTTGGAGACTGAACAGTTAACGCTGTTTGTCCGTCTCACCATCAAAAGGAGGAGTGATTGACCACTACGTCTAGAGTTGCAAATTGAAACTTCCTGGATTTTGCTTTTGCAGTGTGTTTTTATCTTAATAAAACACAGGTTTCCTCCTGTGTTATATAAAACCACAGGAACGTTGTAGGGTCGCAGGAGGAGCTGGAGCCAATCACAGCTGGCATCGGGTCCAAACCATAGACTACTCCACACCTTAGCTTGATTAACCTGTTTATCAATGTAAAAATGATTTATTTGAATTCTGACCTTTTAGGGATATAAATACTATATATATATATATATATCCCAAATAAAAATAGATTTTCTTTTAGTCATAGTAAAGAATTCACATGGAAAACAACAGAGCGTCTCAAAAGGATACTGTACAACTGTATGTATTGCGAAACTCTACTGTGCGTCAGTAACTAGATGACAGCAGTGAGTCAGTGCCATTGTAGTATATATAACAGATTTTCAAGAAGAAGTCCCCCCCCCTCCCACTCCATTGACTCAGGGCTCGTAATGGCCAGGATTCAGGTGTATACGCCCGCAGAAAAACTAAATTTACAAGCCCAGTCGTGACTCACACTGGAAATGCCCTACTTCCAAAGCAAAGTTTGATAAAATTCCATGGTATTGAAACGCTCCTGTTCATGAGGCTGCTGCTCAGACCCCGGCAGCGTACTACAAAAATGTGATTCTTCCGTACAGAGACCGTGGAGACCACTGTATGGTGGCTGGCCGTGAGGCAGACAGCTCCGTTGAAGTTGACCATTGTGTGGCAACCCCTGAAAAAAAGGGACAAAGCCGAAAGACAAAAAGAAATGTGGATATGTAATAAATGCAGACGAGACACAGCTCCATAAATCAGTGTTTTCTCCCGCCTGACACTTCAGTGATCATTGTTACTAGACTATCATTAGATGCTGCCCTCAGGCCACGATATCAACGCGTCAGTGTCGTCATCTGCTGCCATCAAATAAACCAACAACAGTGTTATATTTTAACAATAACACTTTCTATACATGCCTCTACGGTGAAATAAACTTTGGAATTTTGTCCTGACTTTTGTCAGACTTTCATTCCATATATTCAAGGATTAATTTCCTGAACAGCATGCCATAATAAAATATAAATTAAATATATCTTGATGGTAGCAATCATCATCAGAACATAAATATGCTTAAATACATATCAGATCAATAGACAAAAAATCTATTATTTCAATCACTTTCATAATAAATAACTCAAAGACAGACAGCCTAATTACAGTGTAATCATTTAGTTACATAGTCTCTTTGATTGACAGCTCACCTACAGTCTGCAGCTCTGAAGTGGAGATAAACATTTATCAACCTTAACGGGGGGTTTTCTGTCTCTCCACGAAATACTGTATGTAATTGGGAATAAAATGTCAAATGAACGTGAGGCTGAATTTTTACTTTGTTGGGGTTTTGAAGATAATACTGTGGTAAACTTTGAAGAGACATTAAAGAAAGGCCTGTTGTGTACTGTACGTATGGAGTCACCTTGCTGTTCTTGTTCTGACAGGAGCGCTCCAACATAATTAACAGGTGGTCTCCTTTGCAGCTTTGCACACACAGTGCTGTGTACCAACACATGCAGGTGGCTGCTGGGACGGCAGCCTGTCACACATGAAGATGCTCTGGATCACTCTTCTGACTCTTCTGGTTCCGGACCAGGATTTTGCGTTGGCTTTGCCTTTCAGGGTTCCAGATCTGGCTACTGTATCAAACGCTGGGCCATGGGCAGAAGAGCAGGTGTTTTCAGAGGTATGTGGTACTTTAGAGATGTCGTGTACTGTAGTACCTGTAAGGAGAAGACAGGGGCGATGTCAGAATGATGGGGTTTATTGACGAATAAATTCCCCTCCATTGTATAAGGACTGTTACTGAGGTGTTAGTTCAGAGTTTCTTCTTTGATGATCTCAAACCTGTTTCCAAAACATTCCTTTATGCATCATTTCTACAGGTCTTACATGTTGTAATGGTGTAAACATTTGTCCATTTTTATTTTTTACACCAAATTTTAATTCCTGTTTTTTTCCTCAACAAGCATTTTTGTCGTTACTTGTTGTATTCCACAGTCTAATGCAGGGGTGTCAAACTCAGTTTGGGTCAGGGGCCACATACAGATCAGGGGACCACTGCAATCATAACATACTGACCTATAAATAACATTACATCCATGTTTTTCTCCTTTGTTTCATGCCAATAAGTTTATAAGAAAAAAATCATATTTAATGAAACAAAATTTGAGGTGCGTGAAGTGTTGGTACAGTTTTTCATTTTCAAAATTCATCAAGAGGGCCAGATTGAACCCCCCAGCGGGCCAGTTTCAGCCCACGGGCTGTATGTTTGACACCCGTGGTCTAATGCTACGTTAATAAATACAAATTTGAAAAAGTATTCAATGTGTTTCTTGCAAGTATGTCTGTGGTTACTTGATAAACACACGATAAAGATGGAACTAAGGTTAGTACACTACAGTACCAGGTTAAAGGCCTTTCAGTATAGAATTACCTTCATACTTCGTGCCAGAGGTTCAACAAGGACCATGTGATGCTGTCATTTCCAGATGAACAGTATCAACATGAAAGCGCCACAAAGATGCTACAGTGTTGTTGCCTCCAGTTTTATCTAACATAAACGGTATTTTAATTACAACCTGTGGTGCTGTTGGAGGCCCCAACGGACAGGAGCGGACGGTGGGGGCTGTTTTTGTTTAGAAGTGTCTGTCATTTGAAGGAAGCATTTAATGTCCTACGCTAAGATGTTTATCTTTTCCAATTTCCAAGGAACAGATAAATAGTGTGTACGGGGACAGTTAGATGGTAATTAACATTAACTTAGTAATTATGTAGCACTGATTTTTAGATATGCTTTCTAGGAAGAGAAGTATAAAAGTTTTTTCTAAAGGGAATGGAATGTTATATAGACAGCTGGTCGTGGAACTGTTCCCTGCAAACATGAAGATCTTGATTCTTCTGACTCTTCTGTTCCCTGACCAGGCTCATCTGATGAGTTTGCCTCCTGAAGATCGACACCCTTCCACACAATCACATGCCGATCCATCGGAGGCCGACCTGGAGTTTGCTCAGGTACGTAGATTTTTGTACCTGTAAAACGACAAACTTGATAGAAAATTCCTCCGTGACAGCTTAACTCCTTTGTTCTCATGTGTGATGGTAGAGTTACTTCTCAGATCAACTTGAATTGAACTTAAAAGAACCCCACAGCACTGACTCTATCCAGAAACAGCGCTGTCTTATTGTCTGACTTATGGGTGTTTTTTAAATCATTTCACATTTCAAACATTTTGCTGTAATAAATGAATTGTAACCTTTTACGTAAAACCCAAACTATCATGTTGGACTTGCTAGAAGTCTTGTCAAATATTTGACAGCAAACAGATTGTGAGGCACTATTATCACTATTAGTATTTTAATTACAACAATGTTGTTGAGGAGGTTCATTGAAGTTTTGAATGGAACTTTCCATAAAAGCCAGGAATCCACCAACTCTATGACATTAAGAGATGTACAGTAATCCATTCCATTATTTGACTTGGTCACTTAGTTTAGATCAGTCATTAGTCAATGAACTGATTTTTGGTCACATTTAAGGATGTTGACAAATCACGCCTTTTTAATGTTATTATTATTAACAGTAAGAATATGACAAATTGTGATTAATCCACAGCCACCCTGTGATTAATCACTTTTTTTTTAAGTTGTAGTCAGCATTAGTTCATATATATTTGTATTTAAAATGCAATATTTTGTCCATCCACTGTGTTGAACCTGTTTCGCCTTAAGTTTGCACCGTACATAACAGAGCTATAAGGTAAATAACATCTGGCTGTAATGATTACTGTACACCGTTCACTGCTGCAGGCAACAGAATCAACAGGCCTGCCGTCACTGTTGTCGACGCTTAACATTTTTGCAGTGAACTATCATTAAAGGTTTCACAAAACGTTTGGAATGTTAACTGCTAACACTCTTGTCATTTGGTCATAAGGTGAATAATTCTAAAAAGCCGATGCTAACGTGACACATTTAAACTTTGCAAATGTTTTCGCCTGGTCCCGTTCAGGAGTATCTGCAGCACTTCTTCAGTCACCATCCTGAAGCAGGAGAGAGACAGAAGAGAAGTGCAGGCGACGATTGGACGACCGGTCTTTGTGACAAGCTAAAGAAAATGCAGCACTTCTTCGGACTGCCACCAAGTGGAGAGTTGACACAAGAGACTCTGGCAGTCATGAGAAAGCCGCGTTGCGGTCTGTCTGATGTTGAACATTTTGAAGGAACAACTCGGTGGAAAAAAAAGACCCTGAGCTACAGGTTAGATATGATGAAAGAGAAATTGCCGTAATGCTAACATTGCTAACAAACAAGGACTGTTAATCCCTAAACACTAAATAAAATATATAAATACAGGAAATAAAGCAATTCTGTCACTGAATTTACATAGTGATTATATATTGTTAAGTATTTAAAGATGTATTTATTCTCTTTAGTAGACTATGATTGGAAACATATGCCCCATTAGTAAATATAAAAATAAAACAGCTTCAAATGAGTAATATTTACTTTTTTTTTTTTTAATTCTGATTCTTCAGAATCGTCCGATCTAGTAATAGTAATAGTAGTAATATTTACTTTTTTTTAAAAAATTCTGATTCTTCAGAATCGTCCGATCCAACCTTCCCTTCTCCGCAGCCAAGGTTTACAAGGTCTTCAAGTCTGCGTGGCAACTGTGGTCCAACGTTATCCCAGTTAGATTTCACAAGAGGAACAGGAAGGAGGCCGACATTATCATCTCTTTTCATCAGACAGGTGAGATTTTTGTGCTGTATAGAACAGAGGTTCCACAACACACGGGTGCTGTGGCTGCAGGTGTATGTTCCAACCTATCCAGAGCACACTGATTGACCAATCAACTGTCTCCATCAAGACTCCAGTCAGTTGATTCAAAGAGCCATGTCAGGTGTGCAGCTGCTTGGCCGGAACATAAACCTGCAGCCACAGTTTGGCCCAGCCTGGTATAGAATATCTGACATCTGAGCCAAATAGTAGACGTCGTCCTGACAGTCACTGGCACGTCATCAATGTAATGTTAATGTTTGTTGGTCACAGATCATAAAGATGGCACACCGTTTGATGGTAAAGGAGGGATCCTGGCTCATGCCTTCTTTCCCGGCCCTGGTATTGGTGGAGACGTGCACTTTGATGCTGAAGAAGACTGGAGCATTAATTCAACTGGTATCTTACTAAAAAAATCGATCACACAGAAGATTCATTTTTGAGACATGTACGAGGTTACTGTGATCTGTTACAGTGCATAGTTAAACTTTTATTTTATTAATGTGCAAGATGTAAAGGTTATAACCTTCTCCTTCTCTTCTCTAACCTTCTCTAATCTAATGTAATCTAATAAATCCAATCTAATCTAATTCATTATAATCTAATTATAATCTAATTATCATGCACTCTTATCTAATCTATTACAATCTAATCTAATTCAGTCTAGTTTAATCTGATTTAATATAATCTGATCTAATCCAATCTAAACTAATCTGATTTATTTTAATCTAATCCATTTCAATCTAATCTAATCTGATTTAATCTATTCTAATCTAATCTAACGGATTATATTCTAACTGATTATCATACACTCTTATCTAATGTAATCTGATTAAATCTAGTCTAATCTAATACAATTTATTCTAATCTAATACATTCTAAACTAATGTTATTTAATTTAAGCCAATCTAACCTACTTCAATCTAACCTAGTCTAATCTCATCCAATCTAATCTCAGAAGTACCACCACTCGACTATTTTGCGTCCTCTCACCACCTTGTCATTGTGTCAACCAGCACAGCCTGGTTGTACTGCTTTGACTGTGCAGTCTAACCCATCTTCTGTTTACACTAAAGGTTTCAGCCTGTTCGCTGTGGCAGCCCACGAGTTTGGCCATGCACTTGGTCTAGCCCACTCCTCTGACCTAGGGGCTGTCATGTACCCCGCGTACAACTTTTCCCCGAACTATGAGTTGAGGCTTTCCTTGAGTGACGTCAAGCATATCCAGCGTCTGTACGGTGAGTGATTCACTTGGTCTGATCTACTTTAATTGTAAACAGGCGAAGCAGTGCAGGAAAACAAGCCGCAGGAAGGTTTGCAAACAACTTGAATACAAACAAATGTGTGGGTGTCATCATAGATGTATAACACATTCATGAGGAAGACAGAATGTGGGAAAGCAGCTGTGTGGTAAATCAGTCCAAACAACAACACACCACAACGTCCTGTTTGTGTTGTCATCATAATTCTACTGAAAAGAGAGTTACACCACTAGATTACTCCAAATCTAGAGTAATCTAGTGATGTCTACATCATAGATTCCATTGAAGTTTGTGAAATTTTGTTTTTAATGTAATGTAATAATATAAATACTACACTGCTACTTTTCGTGATAAATATATCACCAGTAACAGCCACGTGAATCTTCAAATAAAAGTTAAAAAGATATTTTGTTAAAATCATGAAAGTTTATTTGTCTTAGATGTGATGGCTTTTTAGATTCTTGTTTTGGGGTTGTTTTTTTTTTTACCTTTCTATAGGTTTTGATTTTGTTGTCAAAGAATGAAAAAATACAAAATGCAAAAAGTATATTTAACATATAAATATATACCTATATATGACACCTACAGGGAGTGACAAAAGTTTTTTTTGACTTGCCTACAGGTATATGTCCTGATTTTGATCCTCCTCCAAGAACACCTGACAAATGTCACTCCGATTTGTCCTTTGATGCTGTGACAGAGTTACAACAGGAGGTGCTGTACTTCAAAGACAGGTAGGTCCTCAAAATGTCTGCGTTTTTGAAGGATGGCGATCAGACATCTGCTGTCTGGCTGATTTTACCATTGTGGAAAAACGATGTCCAAAGTGGTGTCACAGGCAGTTTCCTGTCTTTTCAGATTCATGTGGCGCAAACATCCTCAGTTTGATGAAATAGGGATGACTATGATCAGCAGTCTTTGGTCAGACAGCGTCCCTGCATCGTTGGATGCAGTCTATCAGAACGTGGAAAAAAATCTCATGGTGTTTTTTAAAGGTTCTCAAATATTCTCTCATTGAACAAACATATAAATATATATTCAGTGGCTTATACAGTGCATATGGAATATTTCTACAGGAATAATGGTCAATGTTTGTTTTTCCAGGTCACCAGTACTGGGTTGTGAGAGGGCATGACCTGGAGAAAGGTTTTCCCAGAAACATTTCAGACTTTGGCTTCCCTTCCAGAGTAAAATCGGTTGATGCTGCGCTCCATTTCAGAGACAAACGCTACACTGTGTTCTTTACTGGCCAAGAGTGTTGGAAGTACGTGTCATCTTATATGGTTTTTATTTTTAAATTCATCAACATGTTTTTGATGCGATTCAGTCATAAAACCAAGAATACCAAGGTCTCAAAGTCAATAAGAAAAAAAAAAGAATATTAAATACATTGATTATTAATGCATAAAATACTAAAACATTTGTATATTTATAAAAAAATTTTTATAAAAAAAGTTTTTTTTTTTAATAGAAAAATACATATTTAGAATGTAAAATCTTACTATTCTTTTCCATGGTTTCAGCCTTCTGCTAATTGCAGTGTTCAGAAGTTATATATATATACTGTATATATATATGCATCTATATATATATATATTTATTTATATGTATATATATTTATATATGTAAATATATATATAAAGTATGTATATATATGTAGATTGGACTATTGTTGATGAAAGCCTTGAAACATTCATAATTTTGCTTTAAAAACAACAATGAATTTTAGTGTAAACACTAATGATTTCCACAAAATGACTATTCCCTCTGTACATATGAAATAAAATGTGTAAAATCTGTTTTATTTTTAATTTAAATCATTTGTACTGTGGCTGATAACAGTAGTAAAAGTGCTATGTTGTATCACAACGTCTTTGAAACATTACCACATTAGGTGATTCCTTCTTACTTGAAACCCTAAAACCTAACCCAAACAGATTGACATCACTTCCCTTTTACAGTTGAAACCAATCTTTATTACACAAAGGCATGTTGTCACCAGTGTGGTAATTTGTCATCTAGTGTGTGTTTATCAGTGTACAGTTGTCACACACAGCCAGAATGATGACATCACCGTCTTCTCTGTTTCCACAAACGCAGGTACGACGAGCAGCACAGGGCGATGCACAATTCACCGTCACTCTTGGAACGGCAGTGGCCTGGTGTCGAAGCTCCCATCGATGCTGCGGTCTTCTACGATGGTAGTGACATCACATCCTCAAATCCAATCACATTCTGATATACTTTATTTCAAAATGTAAAAAAAAAGGCCCTGGACTGATGTAGAACAGCTGATGATTGAAACATGGTGATGATGATGATTCTGCTGTAGCCAGGTCACAGATTTTAATACTACAATGTTGAATCTTGATTTTTCACAGGGTTCGTTCACTTCTTCAAGGGAAACCTCCACTTCCAATTTGACAACAACTCCAAGAGCCTCGTCTCCGTCAGTACTGTTAACGAGGTGTTGGAGTGCAACAAAATTCTCACCAAGCGATGACGGGAGATTTTTCTCAAGAAACTTGATGATGTTTGTATGATATGGCATTTGTATGTTCAATTTTAATAAACAAAACAATAATAAACACTTGTAGTATGCAGTTATATACCTTACAGTGTTTTGTGTGCAGTATTTCTTAGCTTGGTTATGTAACTTTGATGTAAGATTTCTTTCATCATGTTTTGCCTCTTTCGTCATTTAAAGTTCTAAATTTCTGCATTTACCACGTTCACAAACGTTACTTCATTATTCTGAGACAACACGTTACGAAAAACTTCACTCTTCCTGTCGGTGTCCAGTGTGTCATAACACACACAATGTTAACTGTGTGTGTGGTCATGGATTTTTACAGAATCTAACCGGCAACTTCAAACACCGTCCTTACAGTTTAAACAATGATTATACGATGAAACATCACAATTTATTACTACAAAAATAGGAAATATAAAAAGGATTTCAAATATTAATTTGTCAAATAATTAATGGAAAATTAACAGCAGCCACAAACGTCAGCGGTCCACAGGTGACTCACTCTTTATTAGAACTCCAGCTTAATGGGGATTTAAGGAATACAAGAAAACACCGTGTCCGTGCCTGTGCGTGCCACGTCACAGCTGTGACAAATGTGCCACGGCACAAACATCTGGACGAGGTTTCCTGATTTTACATTTCAACTTCAGCTCAAAAGAAACTGTAAATAATAGTACATGAAATATTTCTCATTTGAATGGATTAGCATTGATGGTGAGGATACAGAGTCTGGGTCACACAGTGGACAAACGTGTCACAAACAAACATTACTCCTCTCTTTGTGGAGTTTGAAATCATTTTTGAATAATTTTCAGGCTACAACTATGAAAAACAGAGGTCCATTTAGAGAATACTTGTCTACGTGTTCTTTGCAGCTTCCGTCTGTTTGACTCTAAGGCCTTGTGAAAATTCAAATTCAATTCAAATTTTATCGTCTTATTTTTTAGATGTACCGTATTTTCCGTACTATAAATCATACTTTTTTTCATCCTTATACTCAGGTGTGACTTATATATTAAAATGTATAATTTCACATGATTGTTTTTTTTACACTGACACCCGCTAGGGGGCACTCTAGGCCTTTTTTTTTTTTTTGCATTCCTTTGCTAGTGCGACTTATACTCTTAAGTCCCCTGAAGCTAAAAGCTCACAAAGCTCACAGTCTTTGTGAGCTGGAAATACATTTTTTCTTGAGTTAAGGCTACAAATGTTCAGTCTTTGTGAACTGGAACATTTTTTCTTGAGTTAAGGCTACAAATGAATCTTTTTAACTGACATTTTGAATTAAATCTCTAATTGAAGAGATCACATTTGGACGTGGGTTCAAATGTGTATATATTATCAACACACACACTCACATATGTGACACATTTTTAATGGGTGCAGTGTGTGAAACGTTTTTCAGATGATGAGCAATCAAAGTACAACTTCCTCTTTTGCCCATATAGGGCGTCCCTGAGTAAGCCACTCCATCACTAGGTTTCTCAACACCTTCAACCGTGCTTCTATAAAACAGCAGCCTTCAGCAGAGCAGGGACACATTTGATGATCAACCAGGAACCATGAAGACTCTCCACCTGAGCATTCTACTGAGCCTGGCGCTCACAGGTTACTGTGCACCATTATTCGAGGAAGAGGACCAAGACGAGAGCTTGGCAGAGGTGTGTATCCTTATGTCAGCTTTGAATCTTTTGAATTTTCAAGTTTCACTTGAGAGAAACGTATTGGTGAAATGGGTGCAGTTGACTAACTGAAGCTCTCTTCTGCAGAACTACTTGAAAAGGTTTTACAACCTGACCGAGGAAACTGGAGCGGTCTTCAGAACAGGGCTGAGCCTGAAGGAGCAGAAACTGGCTGAGATGCAGAGGTTCTTTCATCTCCAGGTCACCAGAACACTGGACTCTGACACCATCGCCATGATGAAGAAACCTCGCTGTGGTGTTCCAGACATACAACCTAGCGGTTACAGCATAACTGGTCACGCCTTTAAGTGGAGGACGAACAGCCTCACCTACAGGTGACTTGACGAAAGCATATCATTTGCTGTGTAGATGAATAATGCAGGATGGAATAGCCACTCAACTTTTTTATATATATTTTTTTTCTTGGCCACAGGATCGAGAACTACACACCTGACATGTCCACGTCTGAGGTGGACGACTCCATAGAAAGAGCGCTGCAGGTTTGGGCCAAGGTCACTCCACTGAGGTTCACACGGCTCTACAGTGGCACCGCTGACATCATGATCTCTTTTGGACGAAGATGTGAGCAAAACTCTTTGTCTCTCACAGTTGCACTTCTATGTATTACATATACGATTTCTGCAATAAAAAATGAAATTGATGAGTCACATAAATAAACTTTGGTTCAACAGATCATGGAGACCTATCCCCCTTTGATGGTCCTGATGGTCAACTGGCTCATGCCTACCCTCCTGGTCCCAACATGGGAGGAGACGCTCATTTTGATGAGGATGAGACCTTCACTTTCCACTCTAATGCAGGTGAGTTTGTGTTTGTGTTTGTGATTTCCCAAAGGACTTGAACCTGGCTTTAACAGAGCTCCAACCACTCTTTGTTTTCTTATGGTCCACAGGTTATGTCCTGTTCATTGTAGCCGCCCATGAGTTTGGTCACTCTCTGGGCTTGTCTCACTCTGAGGACCCTGGCGCTCTGATGTACCCAACATACACATACATAAACCCCGATGCCTTCACTCTGCCCCGTGATGACGTCGATGGCATCCAGTCTCTGTATGGTGAGTACACTTCGACTGGATCCTCGCTGAAGCCACTTCCGATATTATATATATATATATATATTATATATTCCGCTGATATCCAATCTGCAATCCGATCCGATATTGTCCAAACACTTCATTTCTGATTCAAATATCAATCAATACCGAAATATATTTGGGTTAAAGGGAGAGTACACATTTCATCGTGTCTAATATCGGCAGACTGATACTATGGACATCCCTAACTTATTGTCTTGGTTTTTCCTTTTCATAATAATTACTATTCTAGTTTCCTTTAACCAACAGGCCCCAACCCTGATGAGACGCCAGGACCTAAGCCGGTTGGTCCTGTCACTCCTAATGCCTGCGACCCAAACCTGGTTTTGGATGCTGTTGCCTCTCTGAGAGGAGAGATGCTTTTCTTCAAGGGCAGGTATTGGAGACCTTGACTGCTGACACGACTGCTGATGTCGGGATTCAGTTAAAAAGAGCATGTTCAAACTGAACTTCATTTTCTCAGGTTCATGTGGCGTAACTTCCCTCAAAGCTACAAACCTCAGCAGACTCTGATCCAAACCTTCTGGCAGGATGCCCCTGAAGACATTGATGCTGCATATGAAAACCAACAATCTGATCTGCTCATGTTGTTTAAAGGTACGTTTTCGTGTCTAGCGTCACATCATTTCTAGTCTAGACTTTTTCGCTTTACTTAAAACCCTCTGACGTCCTTCTGTCGGCAGGTCACAGAGTGTGGGCTTACAGTGCTTACGACCTAGCAAGAGGCTTCCCTAAGTCCATCTCCAGTTTTGGTTTTCCTGAAACCGTAAAGAAAGTTGACGGCGCTATGTACGACGAAGCATCCCAGAAAACTTTGTTCTTTGTTGGCGACATGTACTATAGGTAATGACGATTCCAATTACAGACAGATAAAGATTAATAAAGGACAAATCAGTCTGATTGTTGCCTCTGTTTCTTTAGATACGATGAAACAAAAAAGACCATGGATAAAGGGTTCCCTAAGCGAGTCAGTGAAACCTTCACTGGACTGTCCGGCACAGTGACTGCAGCTCATCAACACAGTAGTGAGTGGAACTTGTTCATATTTTTCTCCTGAAAACATTTGAATTTTCTTCTTGAGTTCTTCAATGAAACTTAATGGCAAAACATCTGTGTTGTGCAGGTTTCACCTACATCTACACTGGAAACCGCATGCATGAGTATGACCTGGAGTCTGGGACCATGTTCCGTGTGCTCGGAAACAACTACTTCCTGCCCTGCACCTCCAACTAGAAGCTGTTTGTTTTTTATCCAGCCTAATGTAGCTTTGATGAATCGTCAAAATGAACAACGTGACAGGTGACAGTATAACATTTACAGTATTATGAACCTGCAGAAATAGAATAGGCCAAACACCAAAGCACCTTATAATTTAATCTTTAATAAAATCTAAATATTGTTTTATTTTGTCTTTAATTTTATTTTTGTCATTTTGTCTTGTGCTACGTTACATGATTTCAACATAGATTTATTTAAATTGAGATTGAGTTAAAACAATCCTGCTGTGTACGTTTTTTTTTTTGTTTGTTTTTACTTGACAAAGATGAAGTCGACTCTTTGTACAAATATGAAACATGAATGAGCAAATAAAAAAACTTTTTTTAAGCCTGAATGTGTGTTTCTGCTGTTTGAACAACAAATGATAACCATGAGATTTGGTTCATGTTGTGGTTAGTTGCTTTAATTTTTATTTTAATATTGAAAAAATATTATTTAAATGATCAGAATAACAAAATATTTAAATGGGATCTGTAATTTATGTTGAAAAACAACAAAAACAAACACGATATATGATATATAAAAAATATGAAAAATAATTTAAAATTCTCCAGCAGTGACTTGTGTCTTGTGATTCCATGCCCATTAGTCTTACCTGCGTCACCTGGTACCCTGGCTATATATACCTCTCTCCTCACTGGTTGGATCACTGATGTGTTCCTTGTTGTTGATGGTATGCTGGACCTGTGTTCTACATGTCTTCACTGCCTGTGACAATCCTGCGTGTTCGGGATTCTTGCTCCTGATTATGCTCTGTATGCTGGGGTTTTTTTTCCATTGTTCTTGCCTGGCCTTGGTGTCCTGTGAGTGAACTGCACTTAGGTCATACCTGCTACCTTGTTCCACTGATTATAACATGCTATCAAATTTAAATTTTAAACAGTTCTCACTTCTTAAAAATCCCATTCCTTCTTCTGCATTTCATTATCCCCTAAATTACAAGTAGGTGTTTTTCAGTAGAGCTTTTGTTAGTTATTGAAGTGTAATGATATATGCTATGTAAATGATCTTCGTTCTAGAACCTCACCTCCTGTACTTTGGCCTTTGATATACAGTAAAAGCTCTTCATTCCAGCCACCAGAGGAGCTTTTATTCTGCTGGTTGGAATAAAGAGCTTCTGTAACTAAAGCAGAGCGACAGGCTCCACTCCAGCAAAGGTAAAATGTGTCTGCCGTCATCTAGTGGCATTAACTGGAATTACACTTGAGTTGCAACGCAGGACAAAGACAATCAGCCTTTACCACAACATTGACAACTTCATACCTGCCATGTCGTAGTGCGCCCGTGTTCAGTATATGGTATTTAATATATTATTTAATGTATTGTAGTATAACGTATCGTATAACTACTTCACAGAATTCAATACAGACGTTTTGAGTTGGGTGTAACTGAGTAACCAAGTTAATTGGATAATGGTTCCAATAAAAGACTCCAGACACTGGAACTGTTGTCTCGCTGTTGTCTCGCTTTTCAGCCAGACTGTCATTGTGCTGTTTAGGAGAAAAAAAGGAACAGAAAATGAAAAAAAAAAAAAAAAAAGTTGTTGTTGATGTACTGTCCTGGCATCCAAACTACCATCTGTGCTGTGTCTGAATTCCTATTCTGGATAAAAGTGCTCATAAGAATTACATTTTGCAATTATTAATTATTATTAATTAGAGTCCTTGAACTGACCATGTACTATTTGCTGTCAATAATTGCACAGATCAATTGCAGTACAGACGTGTTCGTTCGTTCTCTTTCTTGAAATGATATTTTAACCAAAAAGCACATAGTGTTACAAAAGAAATAACCACATTATGCCTCGTGGTTACTGAACATATTCTTAACAAATGATTCCACGCTGAGTAAAGCTGCACATTGGAGATCAGTGGTATGTAGCAGTAATCTCTGCCCTGTCAGGAGGATCTTCACTGATCCAACAAGGACTTTGTTAGAGACACGTCCCAGCTTGTCGGCATTCACCAACCAGAGGATGCAGTTTAACCCTGTTACTGACAGGAACATCAGCCTGAGGCCAGAGGAGGGAAATTACATCTGCATCGGCCGCTACAAATGTTCAAAAATGATCAGTTTGAACTCTCCAGCTAGCCCTACGGACCACAAATAATATATATATATATATGTACTGTACTGTATAAATCATGTGCTGTGATGCTACTACTTAGTTAGCACTGATAACAATGACAAATCCTTTGCAGACTGTTATAAAACAAAGAGCAGGGAAGGAAGAACTTCCCTGCTCTTTGTTTTCTAACAGTTATTTTATTGAGTGATTTATCCATTCTTGTGTATTTTATATTATTTTGGCCCTTGTTTGATGTGACGTGTTTGAGAGCAACAGAAAAAAAAAGGTTTTAATTGTGGCTATTTATTTCCTATAAGATGTTGTTGTTTTTTTGTTTTTTTTCTAACTGTGGAAAAAATCACACATCATGTGTCCCATCAATGTCGACATACGTTTGCGTGGGATGCAAATCCATCAGGGGAATATTTCTCTGAGTCAGTCACTGAGTAAAGGTAGTTGCCTAACACGCCCACTCCTCAGACGTCCACTCCTCAGACGTCCACTCCTCAGACGCCCACTCCTCAGCCTATATAAGTGCTTTACTGCAGTGCAGACAGGCAACAAACAAGGATGAGGTCCTTCAGTGCGTGTGTTCTGCTGAGCCTGGCTGTGGCTGTTTACTGTGCCCCACAGCCAGAAATTACGTTGCAGGATGAAAACCTAGCAGAGGTAAGAGTTTGGGTTTTTTTTTTAATTATTTTTTATTTTAGTTTGTGTCCTTACTATTTTTAATTTTAATTTCCTGTGAAACTTCACAGAGCTACTTAAAGAAATTTTTCAACCTCACGGAAGAAAAAGGTCCAACGTCCAGACGAGGTATCAACCCCGTCACCAAAAAGTTGTCCGAGATGCAAAGGTTCTTTGGTCTCCAGATCACTGGGACACTGGACGCCGACACCGTAGCCATGATGAAGAAGCCCCGCTGTGGCGTCCCGGATGGCAACCTCGCCCGTTTCTCTACATTTGGAAGAGACCTCAAGTGGGAGAGGAACAGCCTGACCTACAGGTGACGGCTGTGAAGAAAAGGCATGTGAGATATGCGGTGGATGTGTGATAATGTTGGTGTAACCTTTGACTCCACTGCAGGATCGAGAACTACACGCCTGACATGTCCAGGTCTGAGGTGGACGGCTCCATAGAGAAAGCACTGCAGGTTTGGGCCAAGGTCACTCCACTGAGGTTCACACGGATCTACAGTGGCACCGCTGACATCATGATCTCTTTTGGACGCCAAGGTACTATAAGCATGGAGCTAACAGTGGTGTTGTAAATACTCGAATTAAATTAAGTCATTCTTTACCATTTTTCCTATATTCTCAACATTACTTTAGCAGCAATAACATGAAACTATAAAAGGGTTAGAAACGCCATCATATTTCTTCATCTTCTGTACACCAAACAACTTGCACTGAAATGCAAACAATCCCTTATTTCTACTTGTAAAGAACTATTATTCAAAATTTCTATACACCTGCATGCATCGTTCAACACCCTCAAACCAAAAGAGTTATTCCACAGTGGCATGTCAGTGCCTGGAGCCACTGTTCCACACTGTAATGAAGGTTGCAGCAGCGTTAAAATGTTTCTTTTCTGTCTCCACAACTAAGATTCATGGGCCCAAATGTGACCAAACATGTTTTTGTTGTACTTTAAAGAACATGAGCTGTCATCTTATCTCAACATTATATAAAGAGGAAAGAAGAAAAAAGAAAGAAAGGAAGGGGGATCAAAAATAGGCCTACAGAAGGAAAAAATGGAGGAAAAAAACCAACAAAACAGTACAACGACAGTACAATTCAAATACTGAAAATCATTTTATGAACACGATGAGTTTAAAGTCAGCATTTATGTAAAAATTCAATGTAATGTGCAATAAGAAATAAGAAGAGAAGAAAGAGAGAGAGAGAAAAAGAGGAAAGAGAATGCTCAATGCACAACTGTGTAAGGAATCCCCTAGCGGTCTAGGCCTACACATCAGTATATTTGCAGTAAATGAGATTAAGTTCAAACAGCGATATTAGTTATATTTATTTGAAGGGAAATTTATACCCTACTTTTTTTTAACTTTTTTTTTCATACGTTCCTGCACGGAGTAACTTTTTTTTTCATACGTTCCTGCACAGCACACGGTGATTATTACCCCTTTGATGGTCGTGACGGCACTCTGGCTCATGCCTTTGCTCCTTCTAGTGGTATCGGAGGAGACGCCCATTTTGACGAAGATGAGACCTTCACCTTCCGCTCCAATTCAGGTGAGTTTGTTGTTTGTGATGCCTGGACAGATATTTTACACAACTCATTTTTGACACATCATGTGACTTTTCTGTTTTCTGTCGAACAGGCTACGTCCTCTTCATGGTCGCTGCTCACGAGTTTGGTCACTCTCTGGGCTTGTCTCATTCGGATGACCCTGGCGCTCTGATGTACCCGACGTATACATACAGAAACCCTGAAACATTTGTGTTACCCAAAGACGATGTCAATGGCATCCAGTCTCTCTACGGTCAGTACCAGTCAAGTTGCTGAAGGTTGCACGTCCTTTGCCTTAACTGTGTAGAGCTAACTGTTATGTTTGTCCAACACCAGGTCCAAATCCAGACAAAGATCCATCTGTGGTTGTTCCTCTGCCTCCTTCCACCCCTGACGCCTGTGACTCGACCATGGTGTTAGACGCCGTCACTACCCTGCGAGGAGAGATGTTCTTCTTCAAAGACAGGTATCAAATGCAGTCAACTTTAAAAAGTGAGTATCAAAATTCTGTGAGACAAATGTTTCAACATGAAAACCTGGCCTTTGTTCTCAGCTTCTTCTGGCGCAGCTTACCCAACAGCAGGACACCACAGCAGAGCCTCATCACAAGTTTCTGGCCCACTGCACCAGTCAATATTGATGCTGCGTTTGAGAGCAGGCATTCAGACAAGATCTATTTCTTCAAAGGTACGGAGAATAACTACTGTATTATTGTGTAGAGTTTTTTTTGTTGTTGTTGTAGTTTTACTTATGATGTCATCCACACAGGTCGCAGAGTGTGGGCGTTCAGTGGCTATACTCCAAAGAGAGGCTATCCGAAAAAACTAACCACTTTTGGTTTGCCAAGAAGTGTTAGGAAAATCGATGCGGCCCTAAATGACGTACAATCTGGAAAGATTCTTCTCTTCTCAGGGGATTACTATTACAGGTATGTACGACAGTTTAATATCTCACCATTGAGGCTTCATAAACAAGTAGATTGAATATAATGTACTCTCTGTGTCCTTCAGTTACGATGAGGCCAGACGGGCCATGGACCAGGGTTACCCCAAACGTGTTGATCAGACCTTCTTTGGACTAAACTCCAAAGTGACTGCAGCCTTCCAGTACAGAAGTGAGAGCAATGTTACTTCACTAGTAACAACTAAAATCATACATTCAAAATGTTAAAAGGGATTAAAAATGTTTTGCTAGAAAAAACAATCAAAATAAGATGTGATCAATCATTTCTAACCCTAATCGTGACCCTGACAGCATTAACACAAACTTAACGCTTCTTGTGTTTTCTCCAGGTTTCACCTATATCTACAGTGGACCCTACATGTTTGAGTACGACCTGAGGTCTGGCAGGTTGTACCGTGTGCTGAGGAACGCCTACTTCCTGCGCTGCACTAACTTCTAACATTGTTGCTGTCAAGGGTTGGTGAAAGAGACTTTCACATGGGATGGGAGGGAATGTAAAAGTAACAGTATTAAAACATAAATATATTTATATAGGCTTGTGTAATATCCTTTAAAATGTATAATTCCATGAACTCTAAAGGCACTGTATTCCATTATTATTCCAAGTATTTGAATAAATATTTTTATCTTTATGTCCCACGTCTCCTTTCTAGTCAATTTCAGAGACTAAACAGGAAGTGATTTGCCACTGAATCTTTTTACTGTAATTGGTCTACAATGTATTAATTATTTAATGTAAATAATTTGTTTTTCTGTGCAACAGTGACAGGCAGAACCATTAAATATTTAATCACTAGGTGGCAGAAACTGGCTATAAAATCAAAAAAAAAAAAAACGTGGCTATAAAATCAAAAAAAAGAAAGAAAAAAGAAGGCGACTCAGAGCTGTTATACTTCATGGTATGTATCTTTCTTCAATTCCTGTCTTCAGTTCAACTAAACAGACCCATGTTTCACACTCTGAGTAAACTAAAACAGAAAAGTTTGGAAAACACTGATTTAAAAAAACAAACCAGACACCTTGGATAAAAGCCCTAAGCCAAACCAACAAGATAAAAACATTTGGGCTCGTCAAACAGATGTGTAAATCCAATCTGGTGAAAAATATTGTTAAGTGTTCAGGATCCAGCTTCCTCTTCAGGCTTCTTCACTTGTTTTAACCACCCAAACTTACATTGATTAGGGGAGTTTAACACAGAAATGCACTGCAGTTTTGTGGAAAAAGCAACACAGTACCCAAAACAACACATGGAATCATCCGATGTAAACTCGTGTCCTCTCTTGTCTTTCTGGCGATACAGTTTTTGATTAGACTCCTGTTCATACGTGCCCTTTCTTATTTTTTCTGCCCTTCATCTCCTTCTCTATCATCAGTGCAGATTTTTGGTTTCCAGTTGATGTTGTTGCAGACCTGTTCAGACAATCGCAGGAATGTTTTGTTGCCCCATCATGTACCCTTAACTGCCCTTTTATGCAAACCTTCAAATACACAGTTCCATGATATAACAAATCAAGCACGTTCCAGCTCAGTGTCTGAGCGGAGGCTACTGAGGGAATACCTGTAGTACCCGGAGTGGTTTCTCAGCCGAGTGAGAAGGAGCCATGGAAGGTGCAATGCTTGTGATGATCACGTTGGTTGCACTCTGCGGAGCTGCACCCACCATTTCGCCCCTGCAAGAGGACGTGCATAAAGCCCAGGTAAAGCCCAAGATTTTGAGGTGGTTCTTCCAGCTTAACAGAATTTTACTTTTTTTTTAAAAAAAGACACACAGATTTAACAGTGTTTCCAAAGTCATTGCATATACATCACATGATTACATGTATGGTGATTGTGCTGTGAGATCAAGTTCTGTCACGACTCACGTTGTAAGGCAACGTGACGGAACTTGACAAAAAGTGTCAGTACAGTCCTACTTCAGGGTTGATGGGAGTCTCCTCATTGTCATTGCTGATGAGAATGGGTGTGGTTTTATGCTGTGGAGAGAGTTACAGGTTCATACATGTGGATGCAAGTGATTGTATACAGGTTGTTTTCAAGGGAGTTTGTTTATTTTAAGGTTGAACAAAAGGAAGGAAAGTGAACTCCTTGTCATTGTGACACAGCACACCACTGCACACAACCAAATGTGACCTCTGACCTCTGGCCTGGGGAGCAGTGTGTGGGGACGGTGCCATGCTAAGAGCACCTCAGTGGTAACTTGGCAGCTGGTGGACTCAAACCTGAGTCACCACTGAGCCACCACTGCCCCATATATATATATATATATATATATATATATATATATATATATATATACATATACTTAAAATATATATATATACTTTAAAAATTGTTCAAAATCTGTTACGTAGAAGCAGGAGTTTTGAGCAAGACAGACTTGTATTGCTTCATTGAACAGGTGTGGAAAAACAATCTATAAAATAGAATAATATATTAATAACAATAACAATACAGAATCCATAAAAACCACTATACCGCTGACCCAAATCTTCTACTTAAGATTTAATGGCGTCCTGACCCCATGCTGAAAAACATAGTTACTAAGTTGGTGTCCCACCAGATAAAAACAACACCAGATATTTAAATATGTATATTGCCCGGAGAATTAAATCAAATATCTTATGTGCAAACTGATCAAATTTTTAAAAAAGCGTAATCTAAAATTTAAAGTTAATAAAATATATTTGATTACATGCATATAAGGATACAAATATAAAACATATACTTCTAATTATTTCTGTTATTATTATCTTTCAGGAATATCTGTCTCAGTTTTACTCTTACATCGGTGTGAGTGCACCGAACACCAGGTGGCGTGGCTCCCTCGACTCCTTTGAAGATACTCTGAAAAGAATGCAGGAGTTTTTTGGCCTAGAGGTGACGGGGCAGCTGGATGCCTCCACACTGGAAGTAATGGGTCGGCCCCGCTGTGGCTTCACAGACAGGGCCAGATACGGCTACTTCCAAAATCAACCAAAGTGGGACAAGTCTGTGATCACGTACAGGTACTGTGTCAGGTCATGGTTGGAGTTCAATTTAACATCATCAACCTTTAGTCTAAACAACCTTTTACTTTCACACCACATACAGGATAAATAACTACACACCAGACTTGAGTCAAGAAGACGTGGATTCCTCCATAGCCAAGGCTCTGAAGGTTTACAGTGACGTCATCCCTCTAGATTTTAGGAAGATTGACAGTGGCACCGCTGACATCTTGATCAATTTTAAAACTAAAGGTAGTTGACATACTGTATGTGATGCTGCCACAGTCCTTCGGCGATGATGATTTAACTTTTTTCTTCATTCCAGATCATGGAGATTTTGCTCCATTTGATGGGGAGGGCGGGGTGTTGGCTCACGCATTCGCCCCTGGAAAAGGCATCGGAGGCGACACCCACTTTGATGAAGATGAAAACTGGACTGTGTCTTCAGAAGGTGGTGATATATTAACAAACTGGTCAAATTTAAATAATATTACAGTTTTCTACCCACAGTTACTGTATTGGATTGTTCTGTCTACGCAGGATATAATCTGTTCTTGGTGGCAGCTCATGAGTTTGGTCACGCGCTGGGAATGGCCCACTCTAATGTTGAGTCAGCGCTGATGTATCCCACCTATACATATGTGGACACTGATGGATATCAGCTGCCTGATGACGATAGACTGGGATTACAACGATTATATGGTCAGAGTCGGAGTCAGTCGTTGTAATCAACAATATAACAAAAAACAAAAAAACATTTTTTCTCAAACCATCTGAAAATCCCATTTTCAAAGGTGTTAGAGTCCCAACAGTTCCTGACCCAAAACCAAGTCCACGTCCTACAGTAGACCCTGAGTATGATCTGGATTCTGAACTTCAACAGGGAAGATGCAGTAGAGACCTGGCTTTTGACGCGGCAGCTTCCATTGAGAGTAGTATTTACTTCTTCAAAGATGGGTGAGGCATTTGTTCAATGCTTCCTAAATCCACATGAATAGGGTTGGCTCCCAGACTTTTTCTGCAGACTCCTACTTTTGTAGATAGGACCCATACCCCCAGAAAATATATCTATGGCCCATTGGAGGGCTCCGCCCCACACGTTGTGAACAACTGCAGTAGAAAAACCCAGCAAAATGTATTTCTGATGTTATTTTTATTTTAAACTCAGTGTTCTGGTGTGACTTTACCCTGTAATATTATTTTGACTTTTATAGTCTGTTTGTTTCAGCTTTTTATTAGCTCATTACCGTGGTGTTAGCTGGGACTGCTCTAATTTAGAGGCAACAAATTAAGGCTAAGAACTTGACGTAATGGCTGTTCTGTAATTGCCAGACATTTCTGGGAGAAGAGCAGCTCCTGGCAGGGCATCTCTGAGCATACAATTGATTCTGTCTGGCCTGGAATCAGCAAAGTTGATGCCGTTTATGTGGACACAAAAGAAAACACTGCTTTCTTCTTTCAAGGTAAATATTTACTTTTTTTTTTTTTTTACTTTTTTACTAAAATGCCATCAGGTTACCTTAAACACTACTCACTACTATTATCTGTGATTTCACAGGGGACCATTACTGGGGAGTCAGTGGAAACATGGTTCTACCAGGTTATCCCAAACCAATCAGTGACTTTGGTTTCCCCTCATATGTCACCAAGATAGATGCTGCTGTGTACGTTCCATCTACAGGAAGAACTCTGTTCTTTCAGGAAAACAGATTCTGGAGGTGAGTGGTTGAGTGTGAAAAGTCATGAGCAAAGAAAAGTAATAGCTGTATTCACTTGTAATTAACTTTAATGTCCCATGCAGCTACAATGAGGAAACGCACAGAATGGATTTCACGTCCCCAAGATTCATCAAGGTAGAGATCCCTGGGATTGGATATCGGGTGGATTCTGCGTTTGAGAACAACGGTGCGTTGAAACTTAACAGTTTATCAGATGTAAGATTAGCTTCCTGCTGTGCCTGATATCAATACTGTGATGCTTGTTCTTCAGGATATCTGTACTTTACCCATGGATCCAAACAGACAGAGTACGACTACGGGCAGAGAAGAAGTGTTCGCACTCTCTACAACTACGAATGGATGGATTGTGACTGAGGAAACATTGAAAACAATACACACACAATAGTCTCCAAAAACACACTGGCTCGTTTCTTTAGTTTAGCTTTTCACAGGAAACTGTTAGGGAATTAACTGGTGGGCAATAAAAATAAAGAATGCCAGATTTTTTTTTTAAAGCTGTAGGCAAACATTGTTTATTTTTATGGTAATTGCTCCTCTTCAGACTTAATATGCTGAATAAACGTTAAACATTTAACAGACATTTAAATTCTTCTTCATAAATGTCAACTTTAAAATTGTTTTACCCGCCATTCATTTGCTCTGGTGCGTGGGCTTTTCATATGATCTTTTTAGCAAAAATTGAGTTAATTGAGTTAGTACATTACTATTATTAATGTTATTTACAGTGAAATATATTCAATATCTGTTGCCAATTCAGATAATTTTAAAACGTGTTATAGAAAACAGACAGAGGTCGACTGATGTGGGGTTTCTAATGGCTCACACAAACGTGTTCAGGATCACCTGATTGCTGTTGTATGTGTACACCAATGCTGTTGTGTAAAATATATAATTTTAATAAATAATACAGAGACTTCTCATCCAAACAAACCTTTGCTAAAGACTTCAGTATTTTACCTTTATTCAGCAAAATGTGACACTGCAAACAAGAAGATGGCGGTGCTGCGTAGGACTTTTGGACATGAGACAAATGACAATAAACAACTGTAATAGTTAAGTGACAGTACAACTAAAAAACTGACTTTACGAGTAAATGGTAAAAGTAATAAAACAAATGTTAACATGTCACTGTTAGGATACGAACGACAAGGCCAACTTTCCTGTTACAAAACAACATTGACCAAGATGCAGCAGCCGCGTTGACGTCACAGCCGGACGCACACCTCACGGTGATTGGCTGCTGTGTTTATTCCTGCGTTGCATGCCTGTAACTGAAGTAGGTTCGTACGTGTTGAGTCGGTATAAGACATCTGCGTATCCAAAATGTCCTCCAGCGGACTTTTAACAATGCATCGTCAAATCTATACACGCCTGGTAAGTGTAGGTGTGAAACAATGTCATTGTCCGCCCTGGTTGTGCATTTTAATGCAGCGAAAGGCTAAATGTAGCCGTTGCTAGCCTTGTTCATTTAAGCGCTGTGTGCCCTTGACCATTATATAGTAAGTGACCGTGGTTCTCACAGGTCACCGCTGCAGGTGATGAAGTCATTAGAAACCTACTAATATTTGGACACACGAGCAGATGTGCACGCCGTTACAACCAAAACAAATCACCTAGCCTAAGCTAAAGTTCAAAGCACCCCCTGTTCGCTATATTATTAGCTAATAACATACGACCTTGTTTTTAATTCTATCAAGTTTTAAAATGGTTTATGTTTAACTAATGAATGAAAACGGTCAGTGTAACTTTTTCGCTTTGACAGAAAATGTAGTTGTCTTTCAAAATTATAATGATTTGATTTCATTGCATTTTTAAAGCAACTAATACTTTCTCTCCATTTTGCTCCCTCTCTCTCGCTCTGTGTGAATACAGCCACTAGCAAAATGAGTGTTTTTAACAAGAACGGTCATTAAAAACTAAATACCAGACGTTACTATGTGGAGTATCTGCTCCTGTAGCAACTGGTACCAATGAAATAACTAAAACTAATTCATCACTATAGTCTTGTGTTGTCACTATAAATGACAAGACCAGCAGATACTGTATAGACACGTTGTCATTCACGAGACGTTCCTGTCGTTCTGTCTTTTTCCAGTCTCACAAATACTTGTCAAGAACCTACACATCTCGGCCATCTCTTAATGTAAGTATGGTGTTTACTTTCACAGTACTTCCATCCTTACGTTCCACATTTTAATACAGATTTTTAGACTTGAATATTCACCCAATCATGTAATTTCAGGAAGTTGTCATCGTCAGTGCAGCCCGCACTCCAATGGGCTCATTCAAAGGCAGCCTGACAGCAGTACCAGCCACCAAACTGGGCTCCATTGCCATCAAAGGTGCAATTGACAGAGCAGGTGTGTAGAGAATGGGTCAGTGTAATTATGTATGTAATTATGTAAAAGTATTTAATCGCTATTGCTTGGAGGTTTAAAAAGTTAGAACCAAATCTGCACCTTTGTCTTTTGAAACTGTACTTAATAATTAAACACATTGTAGGAGATTATTACAAGACACTTGTTTGTAGATTTATTTATCTCCTGTCATGTTCCCCGCAACAGGAACATGAAGAAAATAAAAGCATCTCGATGGGAACATTTGCATCTTTTTATGTTGACTTTGTCTTCATTAATTTATTCTTGTGTCTAGGAATCGCTCCCGAGGAGGTGAAGGAGGTCTTTATGGGCAACGTGCTTCAGGCAGGAGAAGGACAGGCTCCTACAAGACAAGCTCTGCTTGGTGCAGGTGTGTCCTCAAAATTTTCTGAGAACAAAAATGTTTTTTTTGAAGTTACAACATTTATTACACTTTCCCAAAAATGTATGCCTTAAGAGCAAAAACCCAAGTCTTAAAGTTAAAAGAAAGTTAAAACAGTCAATAATTATATTATTTAATAATGATAAATAAAGGCAAACTTTGGGGTTTTTTTTTTTTTAATCTCAAGGCTTGACCCTTAGCACTCCAGCAACAACCATCAACAAAGTCTGTGCCTCTGGGATGAAGTCTATCATGATGGCAGCCCAGAGTCTAATGTGTGGACATCAGGTATATTATCAGTATGAATAGACTTTAGCACTGTGTCTGGTGTTTTTATATTATATGAAATAAATGGCCTTATCTAGCACTTAGATTGTTTGTTGTGTTGTGTTGTAATACAGCTGTATCACCAGTGAACAGGACAATCTCAGCACTTATTAATCAAAATTGTAGATTTGTGTGTTCTTTAGAAGAAAGTATAAGGGTGTGTCAAACTGGTTGTGATATAGAAGGGGCTGGGTGACCAAATGTTTAGGAACGGCTGTGCTAGAGTAACACAGAAAACCAAAATGGACAGTCAGCAACTTCTGATGTCTTTGTTGCCAGCTGTTCTCATAATGTCTGCCTGGTGACACCTTTTTAGCCACATTCTAGCCCTGGACATGTTGCATTGTAACAAGAAGTATCAGATATTGTAAAAATAAGAACATGAATTAAAGTATTTTCGTGTGTTTTGTATGTTTGTTTTTATTGTAATTATTATTGGGTTTTTTTATTTTAGGATGTCATGGTGGCAGGGGGAATGGAGAGCATGTCAAATGTCCCTTATGTTATGGCCAGAGAGACCCCAAGCTATGGGGGAGTAAGGATTGAAGACCTCATTGTGAAGGATGGTCTCACTGATGTCTACAACAAATTTCACATGGTATCATCGAGCTCAGTGCTTTGCTTTTTTTGCTAAAAAAAAAACAAAACAAACGTAGGATTCATATTACTTTAAAAGTTCGGCTTGTTTTTTCAATAGGGAAACTGTGCAGAGAACACAGCCAAAAACTGCAACATCACCAGAGAGGAGCAAGACACTTATGCCATCAGTTCATACTCCCGCAGCAAAGCAGCGTATGAGTCTGGAGTGTTGGCCAAGGAGATTGTACCAGTCAGCATTCCCCAAAGAGGTAAAGTAGTTTGGGAAATTTTAAAATGTACAGTCTTTGCATTTAACTCAGTGTCTGCTTAATGTGGATGTTATTGATTTCTTTAGGCAAACCTGATGTGGTGGTGTCTGAGGATGAGGAGTGGAGGAGAGTAGACTTCAGCAAAGTCCCCAAACTAAAGGCAGTGTTTCAGAAGGACAATGGTAAATATGTTGTAAAGTTTTCCCTGTTGATATAGAATATTTGGAAATACATCTCATACTAATACACAGATGTATGTATTGACCAGGTTTTTAGGATAAATCGGCCCTGACCAGTGACTGGCCAGTTAGCACACGTGTATCCAGTTTTGCTGACTTTTAGAAATGTTGTAATTATTGGGTTATTGTGAATATTGTTTGCTCTTATATTTTTGTCACTACAAAAAAATATTCTGCAGATACAGTAGCAGTACTTTATTTTGAAAGTCTTGTGACTGAGTGACGTTTGTGAGAAATGTTTCATACTAAACTCAAATCAAAAATAATTGCAATCAATAATGACATCTAACCTGCACTTCTCCTTTTTTTTGTTATCTTATTATTAGGCACAGTGACAGCAGCCAATGCCAGCACACTAAACGATGGAGCTGCTGCTTTAGTTTTAATGACGGCCGATGCTGCTAAAAGACTCAACGTTACTCCTTTAGCCAGAATTGTCTGTAAGTTAACCACATACTATGACATACAAAACGTAACTTTAATCTGTTGCATTACAAATTGGCTTGGTAAAACGCATAAAAACTGTTTTTTAAGGATGTGTTAATATTTTCCCTCACAGCTTTTGCTGATGCTGCAGTTGCACCCATAGATTTCCCAATTGCTCCTGCGTATGCTGTACCAAAGGTGAGTCCTAGCATGTGATGCATTTTCTATTTGGTTACATATTTATAGTGAACTTTCAAGAAGTGTGTTGTACTGTCAACATTCTCAAACTAAAATGTCAAAACACTGATTTTATTTATCATGAGCTTGTCCTTGTACTGTATGTACACAAGACGTACAGTATCATGATGTATAACTATACTGTATGTATGCACAGTATGTATATGTATATATTTATTTAATGATGTTTATATATTAATTTATTAATTAACATGTACATCCATATGTGTGTGTTCCAGGTTTTGGATGCAGCAGGTTTGAAGAAGGACGATATCGCCATGTGGGAGATCAATGAGGCCTTCAGCGTGGTCGTGCTGGCCAACATCAAAATGTTGGACATCGACCCAACAAAAGTCAACGTAAACGGTGGTGCCGTGTCTCTGGGACATCCAATTGGGTAAGATACGGTACAGCTGAGGCTGTTACAGAGGAGTGCATGCTGTGAAGGTTAGTCATGCTGTTAGATATGAGTATATAAGTCATTTAAGAGCCAAAGGGTTGTCCAAAGATACTCAACCTATGTCTTAGGTCGATTTCAAATACAGTTAAAATGTTAAGCCATTTTTAAATAATACATTTGTCTTGTTTTTTTAGTACGTCAACAAAAACACTTACCTGTACTACTGCTTTACTTGTCTTCCTTTTGTCAGGATGTCTGGAGCCAGAATTGTAGGTCACATGGTGCACAATCTGAAGTCAGGCCAATATGGTCTGGCGGGCATCTGTAACGGTGGTGGTGGCGCTTCTTCTATTCTGATCCAAAAGCTGTAGGACACTTGAAACATTGTTTCCCAGCTGCACTTGTGAGTTTATTTGTTATCTTCCTTTCTGTTTCATCAGTTGGGACAATAGTGCACTTTATATTTACTGTAAGGAACAGTGCTGTTACAATTATGAACCCTGTGGCCTTAAGCTAGAAAGACTCCAGATTCAAACACTCCTCTGTTTGACCACATGACTTGTGGAAAAAATGATGAATATTTAACTTGTTTGAATAAATATTACAATTTATATGAAACCCAATATGTTTTATTTATTTTTGCTTACTTTCATCGGTTGACTCTAACATTGATTGGACACTTTCTGAGAGTTGTTGAAGGTTCCACAGGCATCTTTGTTCTCAAGCATTGTAATGTTTAGGTTTGACACTAGAGGCTGCTCTTGGCATTCTAAAATATACTCATATAAGTAAATATTACAAAAACAATTGTGACTCTCAGTACATTCCAAAACTCAAAATCAGATTAACAGCTATACTGTTACTAATATATATGTTTCAGGGTGACCAAGATTGACATTCTGACAATGTTGGTTTGAACTTTACCAATACACACAATCTACTTGGTTCAAGGCACACAATTTTGAGTAATTAAATGGTGTCAAGCATTCAGCAACTATTGCATTTGATTACTCAAAACCGAAACCTAAAGTGACCTGGCCAATAAACACATTGACAGCACATCATTAAAAAATGAAATAGTCTAGGAAAATGGTCAGCCTTAAATAACAGAACACATGTACTGTAAAATTACTACAGTAAATTCCTACAGTCGTGTATATATATATAAATATATATATAGATATAGATATCAAATGTTGGTTCTTTTCCAGTTGTTAAGGAGTGTGCTACCCGGAACAAAAAGGAAAAAAAAAACAATTACACTACATGTCCATAAATGAGGTGTGCTTTCCTGCCATCACTTTATGATGCAGCTGTTGTTGAGTAACTAGGATTGGTTTCAGGACACACAATTGTTTACTATTACTTATGGAAATTAGGTGATGTGGCATAAACAAACGTTGGTCAAACAAGCAGCACCAATGTTGAAGAAGGCTTGGTTCTACACTTCTGAAGCCATTAAAGGCTGTGTTTTATACTGACCTGACCAAAGGTCAATTAACTTGTGGTATTTGAACATCAAGTCGGTATTACGAATGGGATTGACCTAAATTACTAAATCACGATGTGTAAGCAGTCGTTGGCCTGTTTATTAAAGTACTTCTGAGTTAGTGATTTTATTGACCAAAAGGTTTTTTGTCTGATTGCAATTGCACTTTTAGTCAGCAGAGGGCATGACGTGCAGACAAACATAACGTGACTGAAGACCTAACTAGCTTGGGTCTTATTTGGTTTTATTTAATTGTATTTGGATTTTGTTTTTTTAACAGACCAAACTAACAACACTGTAATTAGAACAATGATTGTAGTTGACTAAACAACTGCAGAAGTTACTGAAACTTAGCACGGTAAAAAGAGAAATCTCAAATGAAAACACTGCTACCTACAGGCCTACATTTTTTAACCACACAGTAAGAAAAGAAATGTCTTTGTTGTTTATAAAGATTTATTTTTTTAAATATCTCAGAACGTTTGACTCATCCTTTTCCATACTGTACATGTGCATTTCCTCATATCCCATGCCCTGTTCTACTGGACCGGAGTTTTTTTTTTCCATTCTTTTCCTGTCTGTTAATACAGTGAAACAGTGAGTTAAGTATTAACAGGGTCTGAAAGTCATTTAGCCATTAGTATTTGTGAACCAGCTCAGTCATTTGTTTGAATGTTACTGATTAAACAGCTGGGTGAGCTTCTCCTCAGGAACACCGACAAAGACTCCTGTCATGTAAGCGAACCAGACCCGTGTTATCGACTAGCATTTGTCATCTTCAAGTGGCTGCGTCAGAATAACGGCTCTACGTCAGTGGACACTTACTGTCACCTGTTACTTCCTCTTGTCTCACCTCTCAGTTACAACATGGCAGAGCAGTAATGTGTAGTTTAGCTTTTCTTTGATAGCAACAGTATCCCTTCATATACTGTAAACCTGACTTGGGGTTTTGTGATAAACAAAGCTGCGTTGCTGAAAGAAAACCTATTTTGATCGATGCTATTCATGAATTTGTACTCAGCTCCATCAAAGTTGACCTTTGCCCATAATTACTATTTGAATGTGTCATTTCAAGTGTTAAAAATGTGATAGACCGGCTTGCGCACACAGCAGAAGAAGGTGTGGCCCTGGCTGTTGATCGCACGGACGTCAGGAGTGAACATGGGATACAGAGGGAAAGGGGCAAGGAGCAGGAACACACTGACTTGGAATTTTGTGTGAGTTTGAAGGTAGGAAGATACAGAGCATCTTACACTGTCTGTAAAGATTTGTTTTTTTTAGCCATGTAATATTTTCTGTTTGGTGTTCGGTTCCATTACTTGGTTTTTACTTTGATGGAGTAAGTAGTAGCAGTTTTTCTTGTCTGTAAGATGACTGATTTGTTTATATTTGAATGAATAGAACAGGTAGTTTTCCTTTACAGTACATGTTTCTAACACTGAAATGTTTTCTAGGAGTGACAGCTTCAGGGATTACACACAAGTTACACTATGAATAACAATCAGGTAAAATCTTTTTTCTTAAGTCACTTTAACAAACACTTAAATTGTTTACATTACATTAGAATTACATTACAAATACATTACATTACAATACATTTAGCAGACGCTTTTATCCAAAGCGATATCCAGTTTTAATCAGTCAGTCAACAATCAATTTTTAATCATGTGTACTGATGATTTTTGTTTAATGACATTATACTTACCTGTAGGAAAATGGCCTCACCTATGACAACAGAGGTTTCCAACATGACGACGGAAGGCCTCCCCCATACAACCCACAGGCGCAAATATACCCTTCTCTCCCAGCACACTCCCAGAACTGTGGAGCTGCGACCTCTGAGCCTATCAACACCCACCAAACTGCCACACCTGTACTAGCAGTCAGCACGGTACAGAGTAAAGGTAAAGTCATTTGTCTTTTTATCAACCATCTTTAAGTGCTGATACCAGCTGCAAGAAAAAGGTTGGCAAACAATGTCTTACATCCCTGGGTAAATATAAACATTTGGAGAAACCAGCGCAAACTCGCCACGTAGTTTCACTTCCTTGAGGCTCAACAAACGTTTGAAAGAACAACAGACACTGTTTCTTTGAGGACAAGAAAACACAAATTATCATTGGTTAGAACACTAATCACAGAGGTGCAAATGGACTATCCATGCATGGCTGTATTTTCCGGACTATAAATCACAATATTTTTTTTTTCATCCTTTGGCTGCGGTTTGCGACTTATAATATACTTATGTTTGTGATTTTTACACTGACAACTGCTAGAGGACACCTTAGGCTTGTGTACCCAGTGTCTGCTACTCACATACCACAAAAAATGTATATGATCGTTATTTTCACACTGACATCCACTAGTGGGCACTGGTGTGATTTATACTCCGGAGCAATTTATAATCCAGAAAATACGGTATATTGAGTCATACAACAATAAAAAAAGGAATGTATCACACCTTACACTTTGCTAGATAAAGTAGATTTTATCTTCAAGTCCTTTCTGAAAAGTTTTTTTTTCTTTCAGTTCTGTTTGATAGTTCTGGTGGATTACACAAAACAGCAGACATCAAACAAACAAAAAAAGTGTTTTGCATCCGCAGCTAGACTGGTTTGTATGTTGATCAGTATATCTGAATCTGTTCTTTCAGGGAAAAAGAAATGTTCCACAAACCGCATTATATGTGTGACTCTGTGCGTGCTCCTTCTCCTGGCTGTGGTCGGGGTCTTGCTGTGGTACTTCTGTAAGTGCAGTTTTTTATAATAATCTCACTGAAAATCCCAGTAGGTTGCTGAATGTGTGTGTGTGAATTTTGCAGTGTACTACCAGTGTTTACTGGGGAAGTCTTGTAGAACTGGAGGGAAGTGTTTGAGTTCGTCCCAGTGGTGCGATGGCGTCAGGGATTGTTCGAATGGAGAGGATGAAGCCCAGTGTTGTAAGACCTTGGACTCCTACGGTGTTTGCTGCATCAACAGTCAGCTTCTTCAGGTATCAAATCAGTGACCAGTCTGGTGTACTCCACAGTCCGTCTTCAGGGCGTCAACTCTATCCTGGAGAGTTACTCAACGAGAAAAAACACATGGCTGCCAGTGTGTGCTGATGACTGGGACAACGACTACGGGAGGACAGTCTGTGGGCAGATGGGCTACATGAGGTGCTGAACGTCTTACCCACGCTGCCTCACTTTATAAATGTAGAAACCCAGCTGTCATGGACACAGAGTGCAGTTGTGCTATTGTTACAATGACAGAAAGGAAAGAAGAACTAAGTGTCTAATTTGTCCATGTGTCTCTGTCATGTCTCACAGACAGGATTATGTGGAATACACTCAAATCAGTACTTCATCATCCAAAGGATACATGAAGCTAAAGCCAGGGAGTATTCATGACTCACGTATACAGTCACAGCTCACCTACAGGTATACATTTGTCTTAAAATATTGTGAGATCATTAAAACTAAGGATGTCGGATAATATAGTGCAAGGTTAGCATAATTGTGTAATATCTGTAGGAATCGTTATCGGTTTTTGCTCTGATAATGAAAACCTGTTAACGTAATGCTTGGGTTTTGCCCTGGGTGTGCTTCATTTCATCTATATCATTGTGTGCAGAACGCTGGTGCCAGCAACACAATACAGTGGTTTCCACAGATATACAATTCAATATTACAGATATCAGCAAAAAGTTAATATCGGACATCCCTAATTAAAAAGTTTTTGTGTGCATCATAACATTTCTACATATTTTATTTTCTTTATTTTCAGTCCTACTTGTTCTGCAAGTGCCATCAAACTGATTTGCATACGTAAGATACGATTTGCCTGAAACAACACTGTAATCTATAATATGTGTGAAATGTTTTTTCTTTCAACCCATGCTTTAAGTATTTTTTGTTCTTCAGAATGTGGTCGGAGCACAGCAGCCCCTAGTTCTCGTATCGTCGGTGGTACGGAGGCGGTTAATGGAGCCTGGCCGTGGCAGGTCAGCCTTCAGATCCAGGGTCAACACTTGTGTGGAGGTTCTATTATCAGCCCTTACTGGATCCTCTCAGCTGCGCACTGCTTTCAAAGGTGACTCTTTTTACTTCTTCGAGAATGTTCTTATGCCACTCTGTTTGTTTTGTTGTAGATTTTTGTATATGTAAATCAGGCAGATGTTCAAGAAGAGTGGACAATGTGTTCTGTTCGTGTTACAGATTCTACAACCCACAGCGGTGGAGAGTTTACTCTGGTGATGTGAGCCTCTCCCGCATGAGTTTCGGCTCTGGAAAAAGTGTTGAAAAAATCATCAATCATGAAAAATACAACACGGATACCAATGACAATGACATTGCCCTGCTGAAGCTGAGTACACCTTTGACCTTCAGTGGTGAGTGCAGGATATTAAATAACACAGAATGACAATGTGACCTGAGGGATAATGTTAATGTTACAAATTGAAATTCTTGAAGCTGTTGTTGATTTTTGTTTTTGTCCCCTTCAGTAACGGTGAAGCCAGTTTGCCTCCCAAACTCTGGAGTAGACCTCTCGCCTGGACGTCAAGCCTGGATCACAGGATGGGGAGCCCTGAGGTCATCTGGTAAATAAAAAATACATTTCATTTTTTGTGAAATGCTGACATTTCTGCTGTACTTTTTTTTAAATAATTCATTTCACTCCAGTCGTTTCTGTTTACTTACTTTATTCTCTGATATTGAGAGAATAAAGTGCAAAAAAAAGCCAAAAAACCTTTATTTTGAAAATTGACTAATCCCTAACAATCTTTCAACGATCAGCATGGCACTACCAGTCTACAGTACTGGCCGAACAGTCCTTGGTACAAAAAAGGTTGCGAGTTGCTTGTCTTGTCTTGTTGGACCTAAAGATTATCTAGATCAACTAATCTTTTTTTCCCAGGACCTTCTCCTGACATACTAAATCAGGCCCAGGTGACCATTTACAGCAGAGACCAATGCAACAGTGATTGGATATTGAGCGGCCAAGTCACTGAGACCATGATCTGTGCAGGCAAACTGGAGGGTGGAGTGGATTCATGTCAGGTCAGCCACTCACACAAACTAACGTGGTGTCTTTAATGTGTACAAAACCATTGTTCCATAACATGAGGTGTTTTTTTTTCACATGGTGCAGGGTGACAGTGGGGGACCTCTGGTGGCCAAGGAGGGAAACCTATGGTGGTTGGCAGGGGACACAAGCTGGGGGATTGGATGTGCCTGGAAGAACAAACCAGGCGTCTATGGCAACGTCACCCACTTAATGGATTGGGTCTATTGGCAAATGCAGGTAAATATTCACAGCTGCTGAGGTTGAACTTTGTAATCAAAAGAAGGTGTTTTCTATTCCTGGCTGGGGTGTAAAATGGACGCTTCTACCATAGGAATGAATGGGATAAATAAGCTGTGATTAGTTCGAAGTGGAAATGCAACTCTGAGGTGGATTAAGCATGAGTCAGTGGATGAAGGGAGTGATGGATGGATGGATGACTGCATTTAGCAGTTAGAACTACAGCAGGGCGTATGTGATAATATGTACCAGCCTTTAGACTTAACAATGTGTTACCACACATTCACTCTTAATCTTTCTTCAACAGAATGAATGATGGAAACCTCCACCCAACAAGAAGACTTACCTCCTGTTATGGTACAAACACATTTAGCACTTTGAATCTGTGGCTATGATACTTGATGAACACAAATATATAAAAAAGACAGAACAAACAGTAAAAGCAAAACAAATCTAATACCAGTTTTAACTTGAGTGTCAAATGTTTGCATTTAAACAAAGTGGATCTATTTTCTAAAATAAAACATGTACTATACAAAGACTTGGATTTCAGGTAGTCACTGTTACAAAGCACATCACGTGATAATATGACTGTTGTGTTTGTACACATCCTCTGTAATGATCAGTAAATCAGTTCCAGCTGTACGAGTCCATGAACCTCTTGGACGTGAGGTGAGGCAAAAACCCAGACCAGTCCTGTTGCCTACTTCTTTGGACCAAGTATGTAAATCTGAATCATTTGAATAACATTTTTGGCAACATTTACCTACAACCACATTGATGACATCACCAGCCCTCCGTTGTTTAGACAAGCACAGCTTCCCAGGCAAATCAGCTGTGGATGCAAACCATACACAAATAGGAGTCATGTATCACAGATGAAAAAAAAAAATACAAAGGACAAATGTCATAACTATTGTAGCACATTTAAGAACAAATATAGTAAATTAGTATTACCTAGCTCTAACCTGTTTTAATTTTTATTTCATTTTATGCAGAATATCGCCGTCTACTGGCCATAAATAAACTTTATTTGGCATATTCGTCATGACAGATATAAACGCAGCATTGACGCTGTGTGGTAGCGAACTTTAGCTTTAGTTACACGAATAGTAAACAGTAGCGCAATATACAATAACGAAACATATCTATTTTATTCATGTTCCACAACGGTAGGGTAGCGGAGTGACACGTTTTATAATAGGATTTTATCAAGAAATGCGGTCGGGTGTTCGGTTTAAGCTCGGCCAACAACAAGTTTGTTGGCGGAGCTGAAACCGAACAAACCGACCGTAATTCTTGATGAAATCCTATTATAAAATGTGTTACTCCGCAAGTAGGTGATTTAAATTTATATTACGTCGTATAATAGGCACAATTGTCATTAATCAAAGAGAGTGACATGTGCACACGTTTTGTAGTACCACAACTGTCCAGCAGGTGTAGTAGTTAACCTCTGCACCGTGTTACACTGCAGTCGAACTGTGCAGTTAAAAAGACAAGGTCCACTCAGTCCGCACAGGTAAGCCACTCGCTCCTGTTATATATATATATATATTTTTTTTTTTTACAGAATTTTCAAAATGCTGCCTGAGTGTGTTTTGTGTGCTTTAACCGGCTTTCCCTGTAAAGCTAAGCTAGCTAACAGCCTTGCTGTGGTTGTTGTTAGCATCACAATTTAATTTCTTGTTAATGTGTCAATTACTTAAAAAAACAAAAAACTAAGTGAAACAACGCATTCACAAAGAAGGTTACATTCACTTTATATAAATACATAAAATTAAACCTAAAATTAATGAATAATATGTGACTTAGTGGAAGAAATGGATGCATTTATTCCAAACAGTTTCAGATTCCATGGATATGGAGAGCTGAGTAGTTACTGGTGTCTCTGCTTTCCTTTCCCCTCGTTCCCTCTCAAATTTCCTTCCATCATCTTCGTCGGTTAATGACTGTTTGTGGAGGTTGGCTCACTAATTGGCAGATGCTCAATTCTAGAGCATCTGCATCTGTTACCTGTTTGTACCAATTAACAGCCCCGTGATGTTGCCCTGACACCTCTTCAATGGGTTAACAGATGCCACAATTAGCCACTCATTTGAATAGCTGCCTGCTTAGCGTGAAGACCCTTGTTGCACCATCTCCCACTGTGGGGACCCCCTCTCATCTTTTGGCCCTTTTTTTTGCCTTGTTGCCACACAAATTAGGCATGGGAAAAAAAGGGAACATGGAGCAAACCCAGTTTCACAGGATCGCCATATTCAAATTATTAAACCGTCCTCTTGTCTCCCCTGATAGCTTCGAACGTTTTTTATTTAATTTAATTTTTTCAGTGGTTTCAGTCAAATCATCACTATACCATTTTGTTCAAACTGCAGTGCATATTAATACACAGCATCACCATGTTGTAGTTTAGCACATATTACAGGTATTCTGCCTCCATTCAGAGTGCTGTATTGACACATTGACAGTTTAATTAAATATAAATCATAGTTGTATTATGTCATTTCTTACTCTACAGTCTAATCACTTACTGTGATCACACTGTGGTACTGTGACATGGCTTTGAAATCTGTATTTATTTTTGGGCTAGAAGAACCAGGACTGGGAGAACTAGAAGGGTCTCTCTGTGATACTATGTGGCTGTGTCTAAGCCTGAAGCCCGTGTGTGTGCCTGTGCACACTGTGATGTTACTGTAATCCTGCCTGTGTGTGGATCAAAATCATGTGTCATTTTACACGAAGAGTGTGATGAGTGCAATTTTTGTCGGCAGCCAATGAGGAGAGCCCCTGTTACTGGGCAGCTATGTGGTTATCCACCCCCTGCAGTTCTTTAGCGAGGTCGATGTCATGCGTCAAGCCTCATGGACGGTCAGATCATCAAAAGTCTTTACGACACACCTGGCTCCTGCAGCGGTGATGAACGTCAGCCTTGTTTTGTCGGTCGTCCGCTTTTTTAGTGGTGACGTTTTATTTAAGAGCTATAAACAAATGGAACTTGAATATATTATGGTCTGGCAATCTAGAAATTATTTCTAAGTACAATGTACAGGTTGCGACAAAGGTGGTTTAAAACTACAAGTGTGAAACAACATAACAGTGTGTTGATAAATTAGAAAGATAAATGAGAAAGAAGAAATAAAATCTGATATAAAGTGCACATTCGTCAATGATAAGGACTTTGTTGACAAGTATTGATTGTGGCCCATCAGCTTGTGCTGTATTTAGCAAGGAAATTCCACATGTGCAATCAGAAATTGCTAGTCTTTTACTGTATACAATGGGAATTACCATAGAATTGGACTTGTCAACATCAAGTCTAGTCAAATTTCCACTCTGTAACAATAATCTTTATCTACCATTTTTGTGTTTACAGTTTGTGCAATTTTGACCTTGTATTGAACTTAAGGTTACTTAACTAATTTATAAAGAAAATATTCCAATATATCAGTAGAAATTTTATTTTATTGTTAGTTGCAGCCCATTATTTTGTAATATTACAATAAAGACATTAAAACTTAGTCTGTAAATACATTTACAGTATGTTTAAATTATTGCTGTGCACTTAGTAATGGTGTACTGTGGACTGGCAAATCCAACTCAAAGTTTTATGACCCCCTCTTCAAACCTGCCTCCTGTTTTACTTTATTTTAATTAAAAGAAAATATAGTCTGGCCACTACCACATGGTGGCGTCTGTCCTCAGGGACTGGGAAGTAAAGCACTAGTAAACTGAATGGAGAGGAAATCCTATTTACTGAAGGAGTCACACTTTAATCTCTGGGGGGGGTTTCTACCAACATTCATGTAAAAACATACAGACAAAAACAATGACGAATAAACATCTCCTTCAAACCTAGACCCATAAACAATAACAAAGGGATTAAAGATACCAGTGATCCAGCTAGTTAGTCATCATGTGGTCTGACTTAATCAGGATAAACGTATGTATTTTCCACACAGAAATCCTCATCTTTATACTGTTTACTGCCTCGGATTAGCAGCACTGTCATGATTCTGTCCTGTTAAAGATTAAAGAAGCTTTTTCCCTCCTCTTTCTTACTAATATTGTTGTTTGCAGTCATAAATGTTCGTTTCCCCTAGTGTGTTCGTTTGGTTGGCGAGTGCAGGGCTCCTGTGACCACTTTGAATTTAGGTCAGTGTGACCCCCTCAGGGTTCGACAAACCGCTTTCTCCCCGAGTCGCTGTGATTGACACGTTTTCTTATGGTGAATGAAGTCGTGCTCTTACGGTTTTAAATTCTTGATGAGTAACACGTTAGGAAAAAAACAGCACTAAATGCCTCTGCATGCTCTCAGTCAGATATTCCCTGAATATCCTTCAGTTGGTTCTTACTGAATAATGGTGATCATGGTCATTATTAATGGAAACCACAGTAGCTCATTCAGTAAGGCTGCTCAATGTTGTTTATGGCTGTTTGTACTGAGTCTGTGTACATGTCATTCCATCACTCTGTCATCTCCGACGTCGTGTGTACTCCCCCTCTGTGTTCGGGCTGCAGCACCGTGTGGCCCAGCCTGCAGACGTGGCTACCTGTTGTTCTCTGCTTTGCTTCCAGTTCTTAGTATTTCTAATCAACACTGTAATAATCAACACGCTGGCAATGGCTGGAATTACCAGGACACCCTCTAAGAACATAATGCCTGTCTTAGACACTGGGCATCTGTTGATGTCCCAGCGATATGCAGGGCACAGAAGAGGAGGGTGAGGTGGTGTAAGGAGAGGATTAAAGGGGAGTTGAGAAGAAGGGGAGGAGAGAAGGAGAAGAGATGACCTGACCACATGCTCCGGCCATAAAGAGCTTTTCTTCAGTGCTGGCTCTTGGCCCTGGACAGGCAGTCCAGGTCAAATCCTGAGCCTTCATTGAGCACTGACCTACTCTGCCGTCAACAGTCACTGTGATCTGTAGGCTTCATCAGTGATAGTTGTAAACAGAGACATGGACATTAATATGTGACGGTAAAACAGCCGCGGTACATAGGTACGTTATCTTAGCCATGTAATGAAGGGGTTAAATCATTGAAGATAATGGCATTTTTAAAAAAATAGATTTTATATGTACTTATAATATGCTCAGCAACAGTTAGTATTAGATGGGTAACCAGTTTTTATACTTGGTGCAGTACAACGTTTTGCGCAAGGTGACTTCCAGCGTCCGACAGCTTTTCTGTCGAGTAAATGCTGAGGAGACTCTAGGGCAAAGTGCCAGCGAGGAAGCCAGATGGGAGCCCAACTCTCTACCTGCAGCCTGCCCCACCCGGTGTCAGTCTCCTGACACCCCCTTCTGCCATCTGTGCCGACGTGCCCCTGGCTGTCACCAGCTCAGGAGCTGACTGTGGCGTTCCTGGCTGTGCGTGGCAACCGACGACACAGCTGTGCAGATGTCGTCAAAGCGACAGCCAGGCCAACATCTGTGCTCGCTGTAGAAACAACAGACTGTCACTTTGGGAGAATACAGCCGTCTGTTTGATAGTGCTCTTTAATGTCCTCCACTGGATCATAACCCCCCCGCCCCCACCCTGCTCGTGTACATATGCTTCGGAAAACCCTTTACTGTTTTTACAGTTCCTCACTGCATCATAATACTTTGACACTTCCATAAATATGTTCTAGGGATTAAACCCGGATTAAAGCGGTGCAAACTAGACAGATTTACATCAGCTCAGTAGATCATGAGGATTAAAGGTCACAGAGAGAGAGAGAGAAAAAACATTAATCCAAATATTATACTGTTTGTTGAATCTGCATCCCTGTGTGTTTTATCTTGACGCTGGTCACATATGTTTCCCCTGTGTGGTTCGTGACAACCTGTTTTTCTTCCTGCTGCATCCTCATCAGCCGTCTCCGCCTTTTTTTTTTTTTTTTTCCAGCTTGATGTGGTGTGGACCATGTGTCAGGTAGCCCTTCATTACCTCACTGTGCTTCAGCCTCTCTACCTTTCCTCTGCTTTTCTCTCTTTTAACACAGTTTCAATCAACACATTGTACATGTAATGCTCCTGCGTTTGTATGTTTGTGAGTGTGTTTATGTGAGGAGAGAGAGACAGAGGGAGGGAGGGAGAGAAAGAGGGAGGAAGGGAGGGGGGTACAGCACAGAAAGGAGAATGAATAAAAGGGCTTCATACATTTTTATGACCACACTGAAAAGGTCAGTCATGTTTTGTGGTTACTAAGCAACGCTGCCACCCCATATTTGACAGTTATGGACCAGAAGAGTCAAACTCAAAGATGTTTGGACTTCATTTGTCTGTCAGGATAAAAATACGCAGCACACATCTGTGAACAATCATAGTCTTAATACATTCACTCATGGTCAGCATTGAACTGGGTCAGAACTGAACACTGTTGCATTGATCTTTGGCCTGACAGGGCTAAATTCAGGAATGTGCTGGGCAAATGAAAACAAAAAATTCAGTTTTTTAATCAGTATCTTATGAATTTACTTGTGTTCTTACTTCTCATTTTAAACCTTCTGTTGTGCTTTTTAAGCTGCTAAACCATTTGACGTTTTATTATTATTATTTTCTGTCTTCAATCACATTTTAACAAAGCCAGCAGAAATATTTTTGATAAACCTGTAAGGGTGTCATCAGGAAAATGATGAAACCCTTTCAGCCTCTACGAGCTCCTGTATTCCACTCTCTGTGGCCCTGACCTGAGGAGCAGAGGATGGTTTCATGTGTAAGTCCTGCAGTTGAACGCCCATAACACACGGCTTATTTTCAAGCAGACACAGCACTTTCCACCCTCTAATGGCGAGAAATTACTCTCCTAGGGAACACGATTTCTCCATTTCTTCATTCAGCGTACACGTCGACTCATTAAACTTGAATTGTGACTTTATCTCACGTACTTTTCAGAATTCATGGTCAGGGAGAATGTTTCAAAGATGATCTAAAAAAACGTGGATTTCTAACTGTGCATTAGACGACTGTTCCTCTATTTTCACCACGTGAGGTGGTTTGAATTATTCAGTAGTCCGACCCAGACAACATACAAGGGCCCTTTGAACCCCAGATTGTGACGATCCTTCAACCCTTGATCATCTTTTCAGACATTTTTATCTTCATTTATTTATTTAAGATCTTGTCTTTTTTAACACAGTAAAAATAAAATCACAAAGTGTTGGAAGGCTGTTAGTCAATGTGGGTTCACCTTGGGTACATGTTTGATTGATGATTAAACAGTCAAGTGCACTGTGACACTACATCACTGACAGATTAGTGCGTGTTCCTGTGTGATCAAGCTTTATTAGTTCATAAAAGAGTGATGGTGAGGATCAGCACAGTGTTTCCTAAACTACTGTTTCTGAAGTCGTTTTTTAGTTTGATTTGACTGGAGTGCATCACCACTAATCTAAAGTCTATGGTTTGTTTTGCAAAATGAATCTAGTTTCTGCCCGTAATAGTTTACCACATACCAACTTGCACAGATGCTGTGGTTGCATCTGTAATCAACGATACAAACAAATAAAAAGTAATAGTTTAAATTCAGTGACTTAGCTTTACTTAGAGAAATATATCTGGTGTTTATGGTGTGAGACTGCAGGCCCATTCTAGGAAGTAGAGGGATGAACCTGCTGCTGACGCTGCTGAGGTCTGAAGACTCTGACCCCGGAGGGAGATCAGACAGAACCAACACAAACAAAAATGACAGTGGTTACAGTGTGTGCCATCTTGGATTGGGTGGCTGTAGTCAGTGATAATTATCTGTTTTATTTTGGAGCAACTCTGACTGGAAACATGTGCAGGCCACACACACACTGAGAGAGAGAGAGAGAGAGAGAGAGAAGACATGGGTGACGGCTCCTGCATTTTTATACACAGCCAGATTGTGTGTATCTCTGATGTAGACACCGAGATCTGTGAAGAGGACCAAAGTCTGACTCACCTGCTTTTCCTACTTTCATTGACTCTCACACTGCCATGTGGCATTGAACGCCTTCTGCAGCTACTGTTGTGTTGCTGTCAAAAACATCCCTTTAAAGGCTAATCTGACGGGATAATATGAAATATCTGCTGCTAAAGATAATCCACTGCTAGCTAATAAATGACGCCTGGATCTACCTAAACAAATCCAAGTTAAATGTAAAAAATGTCTTGACATGTTAAATGAAGGTCACGCCTACTGTACTCCAGTCATCGGTGTTTGCTTTAGTTTTCATTTATAGACGCTCAGTCTCCTCTGTGGTTAAGCTGGAGGTGAACACATGCAGGGGGCTGTGTTTGTCTGACATGGCTGCCGTTTGATGCCCCCTGGTGCATTGGGGGTGGTCGCTGCTTATATTTGTCAAGGTCAATTAATGAATGCAAGGGTAAGGCGGGCAGGATCCCCCAAAACGCCCCCAGGGCTCATAAATTATCCAGAAAACACATTTAAAGACAGGACTTGATCTCCTCCAATTAAGATAATTTAGATTTTTCTCCCTGCCAAATGCCTACATAGAATCCAGTCAGGTGTAGCCTACACCATTCCCCCTCCCTCCCTCCCTCCCTGCCTCCCTCCCCTGCTTCCCTCCTCAGCATCCATCCTCCAGCCTGCCTCGCCACAGCAGGAGCAGCAAATCACAGACGGATGTCTTGTTTATGTTAATATAGTTCCAACTGTCAGACTTTGGTGCGTCTTTTTAGCGTTAAGACAAAATAAATTTTTGGTTTCTGTTTTCCCCCCTCCCTAACGCTCCTTCAGAGGCTGAGCTGTGCGCCCCTCCATCCATCTCCCCACCCCTGCACCTTTAAGGCAATGGAGAGGGAGAGCAGCGGCTGCGGAGAAGGAGGCACGGGTTTATTCCACTGCGCTCTCAGCCACGGCAGGTTATAAGCGCAGGGAGCAGTGTGCGCAGTTTGTGTGTGCGGCTGCGGGGGGAAGATGCGTGTGCTTGTTGCTCGCCGGACGGAGAGAGGCGGCAAACAGAGAATGAGTTTTCAGAGCAGCTAACAATCAACTCTATGCGCTTTTTTCAATCCACGGGGGAAAAAATCCAACTTTTACGCATTCGTGTTACGTTCCACCTGAGGCGACATGTTTGGCTGTTTCCTGTTCGCACAGTTCTAATTCATTCTCTTACACTCGGTGATTCCCTCCTTTAGTCTCATTTACAGCCCTTTTTTGTTGTGTTGTATTTTCTGTTGTTCAGCCGTGGAGTTGGTTTTGCGCATAGGCTGTGTGTCCTCGGCGTCTCCATCCTCTGACTCAGCAGCAGGAGCGACAGGAGCCGCGGCACTGCTTACCTGGACCTGCGCGCACCGAGCAGAGCTCCCTCATGTTCCTCTCGCAGCTGCGCTCCGACACTGGGGGACGGCTGCACTAAGGCCCGGCGCGGCGCGGTGCGGTTCGGTGCGGTCCGGTGCGGTCAATCCAACAAAGGAGAGGGACGCACAGCTGTGGATCATACTCTATCCCCGCTGTTGCAGGAGACAATCAGCAGCAGCAGAAGCAGCAGCAGCAGCAGGAGGAAGCTCAGACCTCCTCTACATCTTCCTCCCAACGTGAAGGATTGAAGGGAGAGAAGGAGAGGAGAAAAGATAAGAAGAGAACCACGGGCTCCTTTTTTCCATTGAAGTTGACTTGTTAAAGAAATAGAAGAAGGGAATAAGAGGAGAGAGTGCGAGGAGATAAGAAGAAAAGCATAAGCCTGGATATTGAACGGAGCGGGGCATGTGGATATTGGCTCTAATCTTTTCTCAGTGCATCTTGAATGGTAGGTGATGCATTTGTGTACATCCAACTTCACGATTAACCCCCCGGTGCTAGCTTCACTGGTCCTTGTTTAATTTATCTTTAAACGTCCCCACAATGAAGGTATTGATTCCGTTGTTTTTCCTCATTTTCGTCCTTCAGTAGAACACTGGAACAGGCTGTTGCTGTGCCCTAACACAGCCAGTGTGCACAGGGGTTTTTGGAGGTTTAATGCACTCACATCAATAATTTCAGCTATAAACCGTTAGCATCACGTTTAATTACTTTTGTTGCTCAAATTCTCACATTTTCAACGTTTTCGTTAGACTTTTTTGTTTAATATGCACAGGTGTGCAGATTAGAGGGGGAGACAGAAAGAGGGGGGGGTGAAATGCAGGTTGGACTGCAGATGTAGGATTAAACCAAAAAAAAAAAAAAGATAAAATTAAAAGTAATTTGTGCAGGAAGAATATTCCTTGTACCTTAATAGAGCAAATATCATGCAAGGCCTAAATTCAAAGCTGACAATCTGTTTCCTTCCCTGTTGGTATCTTCTACCTCATCAAACTGCACTGGGCCTCGGTCTAGCTGCATTTTCCTGCATTCATTTTACATGCTCCGTGGGTTAAATCTTTCTTTTCAAAGATACTTTCGTCATTATGCCTTATTAGGTGCATTTTCTTACAACAAAAATTTTGGCCAAATTTATTGTGTTATATGCATTACATGCGTTGTAGTTATTATTTTGTTCACCATTTACGTTAACTCTGTGCAATTAATTTGCCTTAATCGACGCAATAATATTACAATACCGTCAAGTTTTTTTTTATATACAAAAATCCATCCCTTAACCAACGTGTTTATTTATGAAAGTCAGTATTATTGAACAGTATCTCATGGTGTTAATGGGTAAAAATGCATGAACTAAAGTATCTTTTGCATGTTAAATAGGCTGTCTGCACACATGCATTTGGATGTATTGAGTGTCCTTTGAATAAAAGGATTACACAGAATGGCTGTGCTTTTTTTTCTGGCATTGCACCCGCCATATTAGAAGCACAGACATGGAGGCATTTTGGATTGGAAAAAAAAAAAAAAAAGAAGAGAGCGAGGGAGCTATCAGCCATATTATCCATACCTCTCAAAATGTGATATTTTGACAAGGAATATCTTGATGTTCTGTCTTTCTTTTGGTTCCAGTTGAGCTGGACTGATTTTTATTTGCAACAAATTCAACAAGGGTGCGAGGGGGTATTAGAACGACAAGGGGCTGTGGGGTGAGGGCTGGGATGCGCGTGCGATTTGGGGGCAAAAATGAGCTCAAGAGAAAATTGTGATGTTGAAAAATCCATTTAGACTGGACAAAGGTGGAGAAGAGCGCTTGACAAATCAAAAAAGTAGAGACGAGTATTGACAGGAGAGGCTGACGCGTCAAGCAAAGATGACAGAAAAAACCATATCGTGGCCATGCAGAAGGGTTCAGTGAAGGCAGCGGTTATTTATAGGGAATAATGGAGCAGATGCAGAGGACAGTGGTATATAAAAAAAACCATCCCCTATGTTTTGTGTCGGAGGCGAATGATTTTTCTGAAATTGAGAGGACACTTGTGTCTATCACAGTGCTGTGCTGAAACGCCTGTTTGCTGAGCATTATCCCTTGCCTCGCTGGTGAATGGCTCTTCTCAGTCTCTTTGGTCCAGGCAACAGCATTTGCAAAATGGCTGCTGCAGACATCTACATGGAAAGTTTGAATGGCAACAACAGCCACTTTGATTGTGATGAATGCTACATTTGTGCTCGCTGCAAGGGCAGGGCCATTCATATTGACAAACTGGGTTCATTTGATGGTGACCTTTTCTATTGATTCCAAGATTTACATTTTGTAGCAGTAACTGTAACGACCTGAAAGACGTTACGGCGATCCTCCCGTGTCTGTTGTGCTGCCGTCTGCGCCGTAGCAGAATAAAAGGGCAGTGGTTGTCGATATTAGACGCCACTCTTTCTACTGTGGCCGATTCGCTTCCATCACACAGTCCAGATGTGATTAGTTCTAATGAGGATCTCCTGTTGAATCTGTACATTCTGGACAGAGAGGTGTAGCCTTACATGAAGGCTTTTAGGGCTCTGGACCACTACAGGCTTCTGAGGTTGTCTCTATGGAGACCTGGATAATGAGTGTTGTTGCAGTATTAGCTCTGCTTGAATAACACTGCACTCTGTTCAGGTGAACCAGGCATTGCTTTCTGAGAAACACAATTTTCAGACCATGGCAGGTCAACACAGTGTGTGCACTGATTTGAATGCTACAGCATAAAGCTGATGTCATCACCTGTTAGTCTGAGCAAAACATTAAAATGCTGTATTCAGAGTACGTTTTCGTCATTTAAAAAGAGTACTCACTGCACCTCTGTTTGACTTGTCACTGGCCAGTTTCTGAACACATTTCCAGCCCATCTCGTCACGGATACAAACAGTTCACTGGTTTGCGGAGTAATGTATGCAGAGGAGTTCACTTTAGTGGTGCTCGAGCCATTTAAAGTGCTCTTGCAAAAGTGTCTATTAAAACCTAAATGGAATAGGAGCAACATATTACAGCTGTGAAGAGGTAAAATTGGGGAAATGCCATAATGTTGTTTTTGCACTGCTACGCAGGGGGAGATCTGACACACGCTCAATTGGACGCTAATAAGCTGTGTAAATATACAGCAAGCCCCTCGGTCGGCTGTTAGCATCAGTCTGTTGATGTGTATTTTTAGCTTTCTGCGTTGGGTGGTCATGGGCTGCTGAAGGAATTATTAAAGTAGTCAGTAGTCATTTTCACTGTGACTTAATGCCGACATCACACATGATTAATGATGATACAGAATTGTTTTCCCTTGATAACGTTTTTTTTTTTTTTTCTAGTTTGGCTCATTACAACCGCGGGCTGAATACAGAAAAGTGTCGTGTAGCATCAACATGTTGGACAGTCAAATTTACAGGATTAATTTAACTGCACATGATTTAAACCCTGACAGAACACCTGGGTTTGTAATAAAGATTTCAAACAGATTAGAAATACAGTGGTAAGTGGTGTGTATCTACAGTATGTCATCGTATTATGCCTGTAGTTTACTGATTTATTATAATATTGTATGATTAGTTTAAATCAAAAAGGCTGTTCTGCTAATATGGATGTTAGCTCTGTGGACAATGATACAATTCCAATCAGCAGACATCAGGGAAACTAAGCAAACAGGTCACATTCAGGCCAATGGGAGTGAAGCCTGTTCAGAGAAGTGTCTTGTGAAATACATCTGTCACTTCATGTAAAGCCATAGTGGGCTGATAGAGTCACTGCATCACACACAGGTTCATAATGAAAAAATATTTCAAATTATATTGATGTTACCATCATTTCCGTAAAGTATCTAGGTGTGAGTTTTATTACAATCTGTTTCTACATTTGTTTATTTTTATATGTTCCTACATTTGAACAGACCTTCAGTCAGGTTTTTGGTTTCATTACAATTTATGCTGATTTGTCTGTAAATGTGTGTTTTATACTATATATAATACGTTTTTACAGGTACTTACAAATAAGCTTTACTTACTTAATTACAATGTAATCCGTCAGCATATATTTTAGCTTTCCCCAGAAATTGTATCTCAACTTTTGGAGCGTACTGTACAGGTGTTAATATTTACACTTTCACATCCATCGGTCCAAATACCAGAACGATGCATTTCCTGCGATCACTAATCGCTCCAGGATTTGTTAGTGCCATCAGGTCAAGATTTGTGCACGCTTGAACCCAGGCTTGGCTGCTCAGCCATAAGTAGACTCAAGCATATGTTAATGGATGCACATTGAGCTGTTATAGGTTTCATTTAACCCAGACCAGAATGCTTAAAGAGATGGTGGTGTGTAGTGAAGCAGATAAAGAGAAGGAAAGAGGAGGCGAGTGGAAAGAGAGGAATACGGTTTGTGATATCAGACAGATTTCCTCTGCAGAACCGGGCTTTTTTAGGCACTTAGCGTCGTATCAGGGTTAAACAGATGCAATATTAAAACTGTTTTTATGGCACACTGGAGAGCAAATATCTTGTCCAGTGACACACAGGTTTATGCATCACAATACCAAGTGCTGTTGTTTTTGCCTTGTAGTCCACGTTAGGACTGAACTATGTTCAGATAATGGTTTTCAGGTAATAACCAGTGTCACACATGACAGTAGAACGGCAGGATAACAAATTAAATGTCAGCAAAAGTTGTTTGTCTCTACAACATGCAGTGCATTAGGAGGTTTTCAAGCCTGTCATGTTTTGCAGACAGGACAACCAATGATGCACAGCTGTCCAGATGTTACCAGTTAGAATCCTAACATATATCTAATAATGATTACTGTAGTGGTACCATCGCTGCTCTTAGTATGATTATCTGTAGTGTAAATACATACGTTATACTCCAAGTACAGTTTAAATGTATAGTGAGGATATTTTGGGTAATTCTTTTGATTACAGTGCATTGTCTTAACCCACAATTGCAAACTGCAGCAGCCACTTTATGTAGAGGAGGGCACTTCTGGGAGTAAAGGTCGGTTGCTGAGGTGATGACATTGTCGCCTAAACCCCCTCCTGCTCCCCCTCCCACCCCCCCACTGAGACTAACCCTGGTGGGGTTTTCTTCTGCATGTCTGTCTGCATGCACTCAGAAATCTACTTATTGCAGAATGTGTTCAGTTTATTACTACTTATGCACATCCTAGTGAAGAACGTTAAGGCTGACGTAGTCCAACACAACAGTCAGTCCTGTACTGTACAAGGATTATATCAGAAATACTGCAGGACAAAAATTATGATTTTATATCTGTGTTAACACATTTTCACAACATAGAGAAATCATATATAGTAGTATACCATTACTATTATACTTTACTCAGTCACAGTTAAAATAAAAGTCAGTTCTAAACAGAAATGTACTCATGGTTGTCACCTGATAAAGTTAAACATGTTTTGCTGCAGTGACGTGTACATTAAAAA